ACACACCTGGTGTGTGTGTGTATGTTTAGGTTAGTAAATCACCCCCACTCGCTCTGATGAAGGGTCCCTGCGAGTTCCCGAAACATTAGCCTACGATGGCATGATGTGACAGTTTTCATATAAAATGTTTAGGTTAGTAAATCACCCCCACTATGTCGCTCTGATGAAGGGTCCCTGCGAGTTCCCGAAACATTAGCCTACGATGGCATGATGTGACAGTTTTCATATAAACATGTCAATGAGATATTGATATTGGAACTTTTTTTGTGTGTGCCGCTGGACCACTGTGATTAATCTGAGTTTTGCACAGTGTGGTATGTGGTATCAAAAAGATAAGTGAAGTTCTGATTTAATGTGTTGTGTCATATTTCTCTTAGCATACTGGTAAAACCTTAAATTCTAATTTGTTTTATTGTGGGTTTTTTTTTTATATATATCCTTTAAGGACTCTATGGTTATTACACTGTTTATAGATGAGTGTCCAAAGACTACTGTGCCAGTTTTTATTTGCCCAGGGGGGTTAAATCGATTTGATAATGAATTATGTTAATTCTGACGTGACATAAGGTACATGTGTATGCTGAAGAACTTATTCTTAAATGTACTTTCTGCTGAGTGTGTTAGGAAAATTGTCCTTTACGCTCTATTACTGTCTTACTGCATACCTTTTTTCACCCAAAATCAACTATGCAGCCACTGTGCAACAGGCAACATAAGGTGCCTTGCTCTTACCATCTTAGCTGTGCCCTTCTCCCCAGTTTGCCGTCACAGCCTTTATACGTTCACAGATTGTACTTTATCATATACTGTGCACAGTATTGCTAAAATGTACAGTTATAGGAGCCTTTGATGGTGAATGTCACATTTTCTCTGCTATACATTTGCTGAGCTATTGATCTGGACACATAGTTTATAGAGTGAATGCCTGCATAGTCTGGTGCCTCTGTCTTTGTTATTATTGTCTGTGTGAAGTTTCCTTTTTATTAATTTCTGTCTGAGGTTACGTGGCTGTCTGAATGCCAGGAGTGGGGAGTTCTGGAAATATTCTTTTCAGCAAATCCTCATCAGGAATGATGGCTAGACTTGAATCTGGTAATTCATTATTCAGGAAAATGCAGTTAATTTAATTAATCTAATCTTTTTTTGCAGAGAATCCTACATTTTGATGTGCCTGCATATATGAATGTAGACAGTTTGCCTATAGGAAAGGGTTGCCAGGACTTTTACATAAGAGATCCTTATGATATAAAGCCCAGACAGCTCTAATGTCTTTTATGTGCAACCAGTCCTGAATTCTATCAATATCCACCATTTTATATTGCTACTTTAGCTGGGGCCAGCAATTATTTTTATTGGATTTATTTCCCATCATCATACACAACTTTATTCTGATAAACCGCTACCCCCACCTTACCCTTATTGACTGAAACATGATGCTACTGGTTTAGGAATTCCCACAAAATGTGCTGAGTTATACTCATTCCTGGTTTTTGCCTCGTCTCTCAATTCAGTGGCTATTGCAGACAGAAAAAGCTGGAAGCACCCTAAGCTTGATTATTGTTTTTTTTAATAAATATTCAGTGCTGTAGTGAACTAGTAGGGGGTCATGAGGATCCCTCTATCAGTTAAATATTTTACAGTCTTCCATGAAAAAGCATTAACACAACCTATCTAAAAGCAGCATAGTTAATTTTGTGATATTAGCTACGGTACTGTAATACATAATAGAGATTGCAGGAAGAGCAACGCACACGAGTGATGTAAGAACAGGGCAGTGGGGTGTTTTGATCATGCACACTGGAGCAGTCAAATATGTTGAACAGAAGGGCATTGGGTAAGGAAGGGGGCAAAAGGAAGACAGTCACTTGCAGCAGATGGGGAGGCATTGATATAGGGTTGTCAATCTTGGGAGCCAGATGAACACAGAAGACAAAGCTAAGTGGGAGAAGTCTGTCAGAGGAGAAAGATGAGACCCCATGCAGATCAAGTAGCCAATGAGAGTTTGGTTATCAGTGAATCACATGTAGGGGAAAGAAGCAGAGCCTACTTATATAAATCAAATGTTCAATATTGATAACATTTCTACACAGTTTTATAGCATACAATTTGTCCTTACAATGTAAAGCTTTATTGGGCTTTCTCATTCCTAAGAATCCTATTTCTTTATTTGACTTTTTAATTCTTCAGAACTTTTATTCATGACTTTGGCATCCCACATTTTCAAACGTGTTAAATTCGGTATGTAATTTAAGTAAGTAATGACAGGCCTCTAGTTATAACCCTTCTATGGACTGGTTTCCGTAGATGGTAGATTTGATATGTCACCAGTGCTTTTACTGGTCAGAGCACAAGATCAGTCATACTGCTCTTGTTAAAGGATATCTAAACTCAAAATGAAAATGTCTTAGCCTGAAAAATAAAATGAATGCAGCCACCACATGTAAGGACTAGTAACCTGCAATATATTACATATTTGTTCTTGGATTTAGCTATCCTTTAACGTCACCTAGCTTTGCAATGTTTCTGATCTCTAAAGTTGATAACAGAGTGTCCTTCCTTGAAGATGTGAACAAGGCCTATCTGAGAAGATGGAAGTGTTTTCCACTAAGACGCTCTGTAGCCCTGAATGATGTGTGACCATTTAAACAAACAGCAGCTATGTACATTATTACTTCACTGTTTGCCTGTGACTATGGAATAAACAACAGCTGAGGACATTAAAAAAAAACCCTCCCACACAGCAGACTTGTTCAATTTTAATGGATTCCAGCAGTTTTGAAGAACAGAACTTTAAATATTTTGAAATGTGAACAGTAAAGTATTCTGCTATTTCAGCGGTTGTGGCAAGAGGGAAGTTTGGAGTTTAGGAGATACATAAGGTTACATATTTTAAAAGTCATAACCACCATAAAAAATTCTCACAATAGTTACTTATCACTATGTGTGCTGCTTTCTAAAATATAAACTTTGTGTTCGAACTGTATCCTACCATATACTGTAGGTTTAAAAGAAAACCTATGTCGACTACCATTGCTGACCACATTCTGCACATGCCAGTAGTCTGGATTCTGTAGGGTTGCTCTGGGCTTCAACTCTTTTTATGTACTTGAATTAGCAAGTTTGCACATAAGGAGTTCTGAATGTGTTTTCTGCATACTTGTTTCAGGTCTATAACTCATGCAAGGCAAAAACAGCCTGACAACTAACATTTTCTGGAGGTCAGCAATAAAAGCCCACATATGCCGCTCATGACAATTACACTTTAAAGAGACTCTGTCAATTTATGAATACTGAATGCTGTTGATAGGTGCTTGCACATACCTTAAGCAGCTATTGATATGCTCTGCTGCACCCAAATACTGGGCTCTTCTAATCGGGCAATCCTGGGACACTTCTGGTTAATGTCGGAGCTTTAAATCCCATGCCCGCACATTTCTATTGGCCTATTACTATGAATGGCTGCCACATTGGCCAAAAGGAATGTCTGGGAGGTGGGCAAGCTTCAGCACTATGAAGATCGACAGGACATTCAGACAAAGCAGAGAAGACTAAACATCTACAGGTACTTGTAGGCATCTTCGAGTAGACTTTTTCACTTTAGAACTGCTTCAGTCTACCCTGCATAAAATTCGCAATATACTAATGGATACTTGTTTTCATTCAAATGTTCTTCAAAGTTCTCTGGAAAGCTTGGAATGAGTGGTCTTTAGAAGCATCCTCAATATCTGCGATAACACTACTTGGAAAAGGGGCAGATGCAAGTATCTTTGAAAAGATGGTCTTACATGTACACCTGATCACTTTTCTGCATGGCCAACATAAGCGGTGGCACAGGGTGTAAGACTGCCAGAAGCAGCACTGAACAATCCATATATCTTTCTCCAAACAGTAACACATTATTGTGTTTAATAATAGGTCCTCATTATTGCTAATCCTGTGCAGACTGTAAATTTTGCTGCTGGAATAGTAATCTGTTCACAGTTACAATTCATTGAGTCAGGATCCATACACCCAGAACCAAACTAGCAGAGTAGGCTGACTAATCTTATACCACTACTTGCAGACAGTTATTGGTTCTAGTTGTACTAGTTTGAATTGTTACTTTCAGTCTCTCAGTTTCCAGTGTTGGTGTGCTTTGTGTGGTTATGACACCTAAATTGTTATTGTGACACTTAGGCTAGACAGTCATTTGGATCAGGTGGGGGGTGGCACAAGACAGCTGGCTTTGAAGGACAGCAAATAAAATTCCCATCCATTAATCATATACCTGCCTGAGTTAGGATGCATTCACACATGTTTTTTTTTTTTGTAGTAAGACACTTGCATTTTATTGCAAGAAAATACATTTTAAGTGGAACTCCCATTCCTATGTGGCTAGTTGATAACTTTGCTGCTAAGTGCATTTTTAATTTATAGGACATCTTGCACATTAATCAGGCACATTAAAATGAATGACAAATTCAATATATATATTGCATTTATACAGTATAATATGCATAAACACATATTAATTGCACAGAAATGTGCATTATAAAAGTAACCTCAAGTTAGAACTACATTCTAATTTCTGGATCCAAAGAAACTTAGTGTAAATCTTAGTATGACTACTGGATTCAAATGAGAGTCCTCTATGAATGTTTTAGTAGCAATATAAACCAATAAGTGTCATCTTCTGTAGAACCAAACTAAAAAACATCACGTAACAACAAAAGAGCATTCATTACTGTGTCTACTCCTGTTTGCAGCTGGGTAGTGCACTTTATTATTTGTTTGCATGACAGTCTCTTCCTCTCTCTTATTTGGGGACTATCAGTTTTAAAACCATGTATTATTACAGGGGCTTTCCACTATAAACAACAAAAGTGAAAAACCCCTTGAACTGTAGACTAATGACGGTTGTTGATATCTCTCCAATATACAACCCCTGGCAGTTAGCTTTTTTGTTAAGAAATGAAAACCACTTTGAACTTCTGATTTTTAAAAAACTTTTATCTTCTTAGGTGACAATGTCATCAATGAAAAAACAGAAATGATCCACCTCTCCCCCCTCACTGAATATGTTGGAAAGAAAGAAGATAGACAGATAGACTTCTGTGACAGATCCTGTGATGAGTTAGGCACTATGTTCACCGAACTCTCTGGGCTGCGTGTTGTTGTCAATAACCTGCTTGAGAACCTTCAAAAAGTGGTAAATATAGTTAATCCATCAATTTATATTAAATACAGAAAATTAAACTCATTAAAATAATGACTGTTAAATGTTTAGGAATTCAGTGGTCACTTAATTGAAATATATGGTATTTATGTTCAACACTGCTTATGCATTATTCTTTATAATACTGATGTACACCGCTGCAAGCACTATTTTGATCGCACCGGACCGCAGGCACAATGTGCCTTGCGATCCCGTGCGGCTGATCGCATTGCGGCCGGAGGGCGTGGCTACGATGCCATTTACTTCAATGGCCCGTCACGCCCCCTCCTGCCCCACAAAAAAGTGAGCCGGCTACAATGCGATGCAGTGCGTTCTGGCCAGAATCAGGTCGGAACGCACTGCATCTGTTGTGAACCTAGCCTAAAAGTATAGTCATATAAATACATAAAAACATTCATAAAGACAGACTGGCATTTAATACTGGCTGACATGACATTGACAGGGAATAACACACCTTACTTACTTAGAATGATTATTATAAACTGTCTTACAAACTTTTGCAGTGTCCAACAAGTATTGACAAGCATATATTATCACAACTTGCTAAAAGTTTAGTGTTTATTTATCTATCCTATTAGGATATTTATTCTTCCATAAGTCCACTGTAAAGCTGTAACTTGTTTTTTCAAATGCTAGAATTTCCCATGTCTTCGGGTTTTTTCAGCTGTATTCTTCATAGGTAGAAGACAGTTTTAATACTACTTTTAATTCACTATTCATTTTAGTCTGAAGAAAACCAGGAGCTGTGGGAGTTGATTGGGCCCAACAAAACCTTAAAGAACCAATCAGTGTGCTGGCAGGATGGACGTGTCTTTGGTGATAATGAAGACTGGATTGTAGACAGTTGTACCAAATGCACATGTCAGGTAACTATTCCACAAAATAAGATAATGGTATATTTGTCAGTTTGTGTGACATTGAACGGGTGTAATGCTCTGGACTACAAATCCCAGAGACGTAAAGCTTATCCCAAGGATGAGCCCAGATGTAAAGCTTGGCAAAACTTTAATTTCTATTTTGTTGTCTGTTCTTGCAGTAAAGCTCAAGGAAACTGACCCAAGTAGCATTTAAAAGTACTTTACTTGGCGAAAATGCTGCGTGTACAAACTTAGTTACAGGAGAAAAACATAAACATACAGGCTGCTACAAACAAACTATCACATGCACCCACTACACTATCTTCTAGTACATGTAATGCTTTCTAAGAGACAAAACACTAAAATAGTACTTAGCTCAAGCTGCAGGTTCTGTAAATTCCGTAATTAACAGGACTTCCCTGGCACTTAGGCGTTTGTGAGAAAATGGCTTCTCGTTGCAGTCTCTGCTAAATCCTTTGTATTAGAGTGATGTCCTTTTGTACTGTTCCCCTCCTGTGAAGTCCTGTTCAACCTTTGAGCTACTGGGTTTTACTGGGAGAAAATGGCCTCCCACTTGTGGGTGTTGCCCCCTAAACTTTTATATAAGTGAAATACCATGCATTTCACTTTCCCACCTCTAGCTATCATAAATTGCCATCAGTAGTCCAGATTTGATTTGAGTCTTGACCAACCTAGGTATGACTGTTTACACAAGGCTTAACCACATCACCATCCCATTGTGATACGAATAATGGGGAAACAATACAGGGCAGCCCCCACCATTGTCAAAAAACAGTTTGGTTTGTTAAGAAGGCACCGTCCATTGTGTAAAACCAGCTCTCTGTCAATAAACAAACAAAACCTACGTCTCTATTGCAAATCTATGTGTGTCTGAAAACATCCAATAAAAAATCTATATATATATATCGCAACACAACGGGTTACTTAAAGTGGAAGTAAAGCGACTAAAAAAAACCCCAACTACTGTATATATTGTACAAAACTCACTCACGTTTAGGGTGTCACCATGTCTCAGGGAGAGATCCACTGGTATCCCTGTTCAAACGTAGCTTTGGCACAGGCAAATGGGATAAAAAGGAGTAGATGGGTGGGTGCCTGGGTGGACTGTGGCTTATGGTGGGGACAAGTGCTGTCGTCTGCACGGACTCAGCTGGCCAGGCTGAGCCGTAGCAGCAGTGGGAGGTACACGCAGAGCGGACGTCAGAGGGTCAGGTGGCTCTAAGAACAGAGCGGTCCTGTAACACTGTGAGTCCACGATCCGATGCTGTAATAACCATTTCTCTAGAAGCTGTTGCTCCATGTAGTGCGCTATTCCATTTTTTTATTGTAAAAAAAACCCCAAACAAACAAAAAGCTAGAAGCTTAAATCCATAATGTACTAGTTTGCACAGTATTATAGCTTTATAGTTTTATAATAGAGCCAATTAAAGGGTTCATTTACACCATAGTGTTGCTGCAATGCATGATAAAACTTGAATAACTTAAAATAAAGAATTAAAAACAAAAGGTAAAGCTCATCATGCAGTTATAAATAAACAGGGGTCTCCCCTTTAAAAAAAAGTTAGTTGCACAGAATGCACATCTACAGGGGGATGTATTGCACCTGTGCTATACTATACTGCAACACACAGATGCATATCCTCTGTGTGTTCTGATGCACCGATGCAGTCTATTTAAAGTGTATTCACACTTTTGCAGCCATTTTTCAATAACACCTATTTTGTATTTGTTATATGTTCTGATTCACATACCATAACTTAAAAAAAATTCTGCTTACATATTATTTGCTCTTTTATTAAATAAATGTTTTTCTCTAAACTGAATTTTCCTCTGAAATGCAAGGGGTCTGTGGGAAATTATGTTTACCAAGTTGACCCTGTCTATACTGTGCCCGCAGATTGTCTAACAAAGGATTTGCATGCACATGCATGAGGGAGTTACTTCATCTCGGCATGGCGGATCTGTGGGCTGTGCTGCACAGGCACTGCTCAGGGCACAGAAATAAAAACATTGCCAAATGGTAGAAAGAAGCTATTATGGCAGAAGAGACTTCATCAGTCGCTTCCACCGTAAAAGCCTACCAATTGGCATTTTTTACAAAAAAAATTCCTTTACTTCCACCTTAAAGTATTAGAACACAATCCACAGTTTACAAAAGTTGTACTACTTTGTCTTAAAGTATATCTAAAGCCAACTTTTTTTAGATAGAGTAGGGTTTAAAACCCGTCATGTTTGGTCTTTTTTTTTGCCATCTTTGTACCATTCAGGAGATTTCTTTTCACTTACTTTACTGTAGACACATCATCAAGTAAAAGGAAATCACGCCAAATTTGGGGAAATCCTAACTAAAACAGTTGTCAGTGGACCAAGTGCCATCCACCCTATTAGCTGTAGATAAACTTTGTGGATTGAAATCGTAATAGTATTTTTATGTATAGCAATAAAAACTGAAGCCTTTTTGAACATGTAATTATCACTCTCTACACAGAGCTCAAAAACAGTGTGTCATCAGATTACATGTCCGACTGTGCATTGTGACAGCCCAGCTTTCATTGAGGGAGAGTGTTGTCCTGTCTGTTTCCGTAAGTAACATTTTACTCTTTTAGGAGACAGAGATCAAATTTTCATTATCGTCCATTTTTGTTCTTTGTCAAGATGTTCTTGTTCTATCTTAATATTCTAAAAAATATTTCTTCTTTCTCACATCCTTGTCTTCTAGCATTAGATAATGAAGCTGGTTGGTCCCCATGGTCTGAATGGACAGAATGCTCTGTAACCTGTGGCCCTGGAACCCAACAACGTGGAAGATCATGTGATGCCACCAGTAGTTCTTGTGCTGGCTCCTCAATCCAAACTAGAACATGCAACCCTGGGAAATGTGACCACCGCAGTACGTGTTTAATAATTGTTATTAATGACTGAAGTCATGAGTGATATGTGGTCAAATACTAAAGTAATATCTATCCATGTTATTTTTATAGTACGTCAAGATGGGGCGTGGAGTCACTGGTCCCCATGGTCAGCCTGTTCTGTGACCTGTGGAATTGGCAACATCACCCGTATTCGGCTATGTAATTCTCCCAAGCCACAGTTAGGGGGAAAGAATTGCACTGGAAGTGGACGAGAAACGAAAGAATGTGAAGGGATCCCATGTCCAAGTATGTTAATAGAACAGTATCATATTCTTTATTATACAGCACTGGGGTAAGGCCCATAAACTGGAAGTTCTGTCCTCCTGACAGTGGCCATTACTGCCTGCTTTTAGGTTAAAGTATATAGGTGGGTTTTTTTTTTTTTTTTACATGTTTAAGATTTGACTGCCATGTCTTTACATTGACATGTGGGGAGGAATAAATACAAAGCTCAAACTGATCTCAAACTGACCTTAACAGATATAAAAAGCCCAAGCACAGTAGCTCTTCAGGTTTCAGTTACTGAGATCCCGTAGGTCTAAACCCTGGGTTTTTGTCATGCCATCTAATTGAAATTAGTTCTGATTATTAACAGTTAATGAAAATTGCATTATCTTATTCCCAAGTTTTTAAAAAACTACAAAGAGTATGATTTATTGATTTAATAATAGCAATGCCACCGTGCTTAAATTCTATTCCTATGCTGTAAAGTTATTTTTACAACTTGAGATTGAGAAGTGCAGGACAGAATTGTGAAATGTAAAATGCCTGAAATGTTCCAACCAGCTGGATCTGTATTGTATACTACATTGGTGTTCTTAAGAGAACACCCAAACTCAGAAATCTTTCATAATGTATGTTAAGCATAACAGTTAAGTTAATTTGCTGTGCAAGGAAAATAAATATGAGAGCTTTGACCGCTATTTTATCAAACTTTGTTGATAGACTATATGACATTACCATTAAATGCATACCATATATAAGAAATTCTCAAAATGTACAAAGTCATGTGACACTTTTCTTTTAATATTTCAGTTAATGGTAAATATGGTCCTTGGTCACCATGGTCTAGCTGCAGTGTTACCTGTGGAGGAGGTCTGCGAGACAGGTCCCGTATTTGCAATAACCCTAAGCCACAATATGGAGGGAAGAAATGTGCTGGAGATACAAAAGAAAAGGAAATGTGTAATAAGCAAGAATGTCCAATTGGTAAGATATCTTAACTGATCACTCTGCTATCAGAACAAAAACCAAGATATGCTAAATAGAGGTCACCTACATAGTAGCTTTTCAGCTAGGTTGCATAGCAAATGTCATATGTTGCTCTTATGCATTGTATCTCACACATATTTTATGATGTTATTATAAATATCTGTTGTAAAAAAACTGAAAGCCCTGATGGCAACATTTCTCAAGCTGATTTTCAGTACATTTCTGAAATGTCTGTGTTTGTAATAGCAGTAAAACATCTGCTTTTATAAATTCCAGTCTCAGAGACAACATGTTTGTAGCAGTGAATGCCAGAGTGTGAACATTATAGTAGGCTTCATTGCGTTTCCTGAAAAATCCTCAGCTGGTTTTAAGAGTTTGAGGCTAAGGGTAAAGATCTGGCCTACTGGGAATGTCAAATGTAGTAACTGTAAATTTACTTTGTGAAAGCCGACAAGGAAGTGAAGAACTCAACTGCTCAAGGGTAGAAACATTATATTTCCTAACTACAATGTAATACAACACTTAAATACATTTAAAATAATACAAGCTGACGGCACGCTTAGCAGAAATAAAAGGCATTACAATTATAACAACAGCACAGATGCTGTGATTACAAATGTAGAAACATGAGCAAGTCATACAGTGTATGCGGTTTGCTAGGGATCTGGGAAGAAGATAAAGGCTTACTAGAAGTAAAACCATATTCATTTTTTTCCCCGCAATAGTGCACTATTTTTCAGTTACTGCCGGGGGGATTTTTGCCCACCACCTTCATGGCCAAGGTAGCCAAGCTACTATTGTCTCCAGTAGTAAAAGCTTTACATGGACTCAAAACCTGTGCAGCCTCATTCAAAATGGCACATTTTGTTTGGATAGAATTGCTTTTTAAAGCTGAACAGGCACAAAAACTTTTATTGAATATATTCCTCAACAGCCACGAAAGGTAAAAATCCACTTTGTATGCATCAAAAAGCCTTTGCAAATCCTTGTAAAAGTAGCAGTAACATCCACACTGTGCTGTACTTGGTCCGTGCAGAATGCTGAGCTGTGGGAGGGACCCTGCAGGCTCCACCCACTACAGGCTGTCTGTAGAAAACTACAGGAAGAGGCAGCTACAAGACCAGTCACCCTGCACAAGGAGAGAGAGCAGCAGTGGCCGGTCTTTAGTACAGGAAGCTCCTGCAAAGAGTAGAATAAAGTTTCACTGAATTACACTGAATTGCGGCACAGATCTGGGAGAAATACACAAAGCACACCAATATTCATATCAAAATACACATGCCTCTAGTATTGAGACTATATTTGCTTATCCCAGAGTTCAGTTTTATTATCGAGAATGTTACCTTATAACATGAGTTGGTCTACTGTTCCTACCACCAACTAAAAATGTAATGCCTGTAAATCTTAGATTATAGGTCTGATCAATTATATGCAATTTCATATAAATATTTTACTATAGTTAACAAAATAAGAGTTGATTCATGGTTGTTTACTAATAAAAGCATTATTAGTAAACTATAAGTACCGTATATACTCGAGTATAAGCCATCCCGAATATAAGCCGAGGTACCTAATTTTACCCCAAAAAACTGGGAAAAAGTATTGACCCGAATATAAGCCGAGGGTGGGAAATGAGGCAGCTAATGGTAGATAGATACCAATAAAATTACATTAATATTTATTTAAAAGAAAAATAACCTAGCTCTGTAAGTGGAAAAGGGGGTACAGGGCTACATATCATGTACTACGGATCATTTAACCCATTCATGTTAGCAGAGGATCATTGTAAATGTATTGTCTGCACTGTATTAGCAGTATATACTCCATATAGAGTATATACTGCTAATACAGTGCAGACAATACATTTACAATGATCCTCTGCTAACATGAATGGGTTAAATGATCCCTAGTACAGGGCTACATACAGATCATTTAATACATTCATGTTAGTATCATTGTAAATGTATTGTCTGCACTGTATTAGCAGTATATACTCCATATAGAGTATATACTGCTAATACAGTGCAGACAATACATTTACAATGATCCTCTGCTAACATGAATGGGTTAAATGATCCGTAGTACATGATATGTAGCCCTGTACCCCCTTTTCCACTTACAGAGCTAGGTTATTTTTCTTTTAAATAAATATTAATGTAATTTTATTGGTATCTATCTACCATTAGCTGCCTCATTTCCCACCCTCGGCTTATATTCGGGTCAATACTTTTTCCCAGTTTTTTGGGGTAAAATTAGGTACCTCGGCTTATATTCGGGATGGCTTATACTCGAGTATATACGGTATATTAAAGCATTGTAGACACTGTATATACAGATTCTGTCTGCCCCAGTAAAAATTGCACTTTGTATTTAAACCATTCATCTGTTTTTCAGCATATTTGGCATCATGGCTTACTGTACACCATTTTCTTACAGAAATCATTGTAGTAAATCTATTGCAAAGTTTCTCACATGGAGATCTTGCCAATAACCACATTTGCTGTTGCAGGGTTACAGGCTAACACTAAGTCACTGCCTAACAAGTAACAGCAGTGTTGACACCCTGCAATGTGTACTGCTCCAATTGGCTGTGTGCTGCCTATTTGATATAACAGATAGACAGACCAACGGCCAACTTAATTGTGGTATGGTTCATATCTTAATATTAGGTAACCGTTTTTACAGATGGGTGCCTATCAAATCCTTGCTTTCCTGGAGCTGAATGCAGTAGCTACCCTGATGGATCTTGGTCTTGTGGAGCTTGTCCAGTTGGTTACATTGGCAATGGGACGTTTTGCGAGGATCTAGATGAGGTAACGTATAAAAGATAATATCGTATACTGTAAAAGTTATGAAAACTTCCAAAAATGTGCCTGCTGATCTGATAGTTTACAAAGAAAATGCTACTCACAGAAAGTAATAACTAAATTAGATATCAAAAGTAAATATTTTCAAATCTAAACTTTATCCAGTAAATTAGTTTATAACATAACCTGCAGATGTGAATTTTATTTGGTGAACCACCTGAATCTGAACCCATGCAGTGGGATCGATTTCTTTATGCGTTTAATTATTGTGGCTTCTGGCAGTATTTCAAATATTTTATTGAATTTGCTGAAGATTGTTGCCATAATGCACAAAACTTGAGAACAAATACAATAACCCCTCTTGCATCCCTTAGGGGTTTGATTCATCATTTACCCCGTAGTTGAAAATGTTTTGCACTCAGCAGGGTCTGACCTCTATAAATTGTCAAATTAAATTTAGATTTGTGGAATTATTAATTTGTTGAATACATTTTAGTTTTGTTTATATTTACAGTGGATATCTGATTTGGTTTTTGCTTTGTTGCAGTAGCAACTATTTCATTATTTTATATTATTTATAGAGTGCAGAGACAACTTTAAACAGATGCAGTCACTTTGACTTGTTGGATTCTTTTCTGTTAGGTGGTACTCCAGCTAGAGATTTTAGAGAAAATTGTCACTGGTGCAGGAAACAAGGAAAACATCCAATGGGGACATAGGGAGCAATAATTTTAAAAAAAGCTGGCTAGTGGTTATAGCCTTAAATCGCTTGATTTTTGTCCCTGTTGGGGAAATTACACATCACTTTTTGTGACAAAACCTGAGAAATGTCCCAACCCTTTCCCATTCCAATTACTTATATGAAAAATAATTGGCTGCCTTTCCATTCTAAAAATAAGGCTGCCCCAGATCTAAATTTCTGATGGTCATGCTATCTCCTGTAGAACCGCTGTCACTGTTTCCTGTATGCAATGTAATGGTTTTTGGAATGGTTAAGTGTTGTAACTTTCTAAAATAATACTTTGTTGTCTTCTGGTTAGCTGCTTCATAGCATTTGCCATTTAGTCTTGTTATAGTGGTTATTTCAGCTGCCGCTGGCTAGTGTGAGCGGTTCTGTAAATGGTAGTCTCTCACTCCAGGACTAGACTAAAGGTGGCCATACACCTTACAACCATCGCACGACTTTCGTTGTGCGATGGTTGTAAGGTAAATAAAATTTCGTACGACCTGCCCATCATGGACAGGCAGATCGTACTTGCGATCATCGCAAGTCCTCCCTGCTGAGGGGAAGGATTGCAGATGATTGCAATGGTGAGCGGGCAGTGTGCGCTTGAGCACCCCGGGTCATGCAGCTTTCGTCTTGCGATCGCGCTACCAACCCACCTAAAATTGTACGATTTTCGGCGGGTTTTTATAGCGTGCTCGTCATACGAAAATCAGAACAGTAAATGCGGTCGCACGCTGCCCATCAACCTTACGATTATCGTGCGATTGCGGGATCACCCGCGATTATCGTACGATAATCACCAGATGTATGGGCGCCTTTAGGATACACAGTGGACATTACTCTCACCTTAGTCAGTTGACTATGTTGAGGCATTGGTCCCATGTACAAAAGAATAGGCATATTTTTGTGTAGCAGAATTGCATTGCAGTATATGTAACTGTGTTGCACAGAATTAAACAAATCTGTTTGCTGTGTTAATACTATGCTGCTTTTGTATTTTTCAACTAGTAATATGTACCAATTTAAAGATATATAGAAACAAGATATGACATTTTTTAAGCGATTCATCTGTTGTCACTTGGACTATAAAGCAAACCTTATTAGTACAACTAATTTTTTTTATAGTAATTATTATATGCTTGCCAGTAACACCATTTTTTTTCTTTTTAATTGCACACTTAAGTGTACACTGGTTACAGATGCTTGCTTCCGCCTGGGTGGTGTCCATCGATGTGTGAACACAGATCCTGGTTATCAGTGCCTTCCCTGCCCACCTCGCTACAAAGGCAACCAACCATTTGGTGTTGGATTAGAAGTTGCACAGAAAGACAAGCAAGTGAGTGAGCATTAGATGTAAAAAATGTTAAAGTAGGTCATAGGGCAATCTTTCTACAAGATACCTAGTCAGTTGTGACAGATTACGACACATGACCTAATGAATGGCCGGTAAGAAGATCTTCCAGTTTCCCTATTGTTAACCGCTGGGGACAGTATGTCCAGGCAGCAGAAAGACATTTCTTATGAGGTCAGATTGCCTTGTTTAGGGTAGCTGACACTTGGTCATTAATCTCCACACTATGTTTTAAAACTTATTTGAGGAATTCTAATGAAAAGCATCTGTCAAAACAATATATGATTATCCATAGCCGCTATCAAGAATGACAGGTCAGCAGTGGAATGCACGGGTAAAAAGACCTTTCGAGTGGATGAGACTGGAATGTGGACAATTTAAGTAATTTTGTTTAGTCAGTTATTTTAGCAGAAAAAAAACAGTGGGAGAAAGAATATTTCTGTTAAAAAATATTAAGTTATCAAGTAGCTTGACAGTTTTTGACAATTATGATTTCTCTATGTCTCACTTCTTTTCTGTTCTTTCCACTTTTCTTGCCTTTTAGCTCCACTTACTGCAAGTAAAGAACCTGTAAAATAGTGATCCAAAATGTGGGTTTTATATTTGATATGGATGCCTCATTACTTTTGCTTTTTATAATATCTATTTTTTATTTGTGCATTAAAAATGTCATCAAAATCTTTATTTAGGAATGTGAACCAGTTAATCCGTGCAAAGACAAGTCTCACAACTGTCACAAGTTTGCAGAATGTATTTATATTGGCCACTTCAGCGAACCATCTTTCAAATGTGAATGTCGCACAGGCTATGCAGGTGATGGCATCATTTGTGGAGAAGACTCTGATTTGGATGGCTGGCCCAACAACAACCTCATCTGTGCTGCCAATGCTACTTACCACTGCACCAAGGTAAGAACAGTGGAACTTGAGGGTTAAGATTTGTTGCTATCAGTTATCGTTAAAGCTCTGTAGTTGCATAGTGATTACTATAGTTCATACTGTGGATAAATAATTTGATTTGTTTTGCTTAAAGTAGACCTTTACCCATATCTTTAAAATAACAACAAACACACCTTTAGAAATGTTTAGTAATGACAATCTACAGTACAAACACACACTTCTAGATAATTGCAGGCTTTGTATTCTTTGCATACCTTATTTCTCTTTTCTTCCCCAGTCTTCTGGCAGTGGCCATGTTTACTAAGGGCAGATTACTAGCTCTCCTTTTACTTCCTGGATCTCTGGCACATGTGACTAGACATGTGGCTAGGACATGTGACCATGCGCATCATCTCAGGGGAGGAAAATGCCTTTCCCTGAGATTACAGATGACATTTCCCAGCAATGCTCTGCTGATGACAAGGCAATCCCAATGTGCATTGCTTTGACAAACTGAAGTCATTTTGCCCTTACAAAGCAGGAAGTGAATGCTCTGCAAGTGTAAGTATTTCACGATCACAGCATTTTACACCTGACATGTCTATGGTATTATTAATCATCATACATAGAGGGATGCATTGGTAGAATTAGGTTTGAGTGTAAAGGTCTGCTTTAATTAGACCCCACTGTTGTTGAGATCATTTCTTGGACCTAATGTTGTGAGAGAGGGAGTAGGGTATTCTTCTAAGCTGCCTTGTATTGAGAAGGTTAAGAGAGTACTGCATGGGTCCAACCATGCAACAGGTGCAAAGCACGTTGAAGTTGAACATTAGATCGTAAGTGCATTAATACAGTTTCTTAGATATAAAGCATTGGCTAGCTGAGGTTTACTTTCTGAATTTCATTATTTGAAATTGAGTGGTTGATTTACTAAAAGCAAAGAGGCTGTTCACTTTACAAGGGAATTAGCACTTTGGAAAGGAATTTTACCCTAGCTTAGTGAATGAGGTGAACCTCTGCTGACTTCTATCATCCAATCATGTGAAACCATAAATGCTTTTGCTTTTTTTCCTTGTAGGTGATTGGGTTTTCTTTGCAAAATTCCCCTGCAATGGGAAAATTCCCTTGCAAAGTGAACAGCCTATTGGACTTTAATAAATCAACCCCTATAAGTAAATCCAGCAGAACACTATTCTTTACTAGCATGTATTCAGACAAAACCTGGCCTCCTACTCAGTTGGCTTGCAAAACCTTGCTTAGACCAAAGAACAAAACAAAGAGAAAGTCAGGTCTGTTAATGTTACATTTTATTCAAATGAAACACCAGGCAGAAAATGTAACTATTAAACATGAGAATGAATCTCTTCTAGTTGTTCTCCATTCTTTTCTTCCAACAATGGTTTCTCACCAGACAATGTTGAAGATAGACAACTGAATCTTCGTTCTGGTGTTACCGAATTTGACTTCTAGCTAAATTGGTTTGCAACATCACGCACAGTCAGTCTTAAACGGTGCATACATCAGGAATTGCATTTGGGTTTCCAAGAAAAGTGTAGAGCTTATGTCACACAAAAGGAAAGAAGGTGCCCGGCAGCACCTGACTTTTGTCTATACAGACACTAAGGGACACTAAACTCAGATATTAAATAATAAAAATAACTTCTACTATATAAATAATCAATGACTGTGTACCTAATTTTGTTATCGTTCAGCTCTAAATGCTCCAAAATCATTTTTTTTGTCCTGCCACAATTTCCTGGCAGAGGAAAAGTAGCCAACCTATGTGCTTATTCAGGTGAAGGACTACAGTCAGATGTGAGAACTATGAAGTTCTCCCACATCTCCTCTTTAGAATCCTCCCAGTCTTTGCCCACAAATCCTCCTCGCCTCCAGCTGTGATCACTGGGGTGAGCTGAATGTCTTGTACACTAAGTTTCTGAAGACATTCTGCATGTCAGCTGTCAGCAGGCTCAGACATTTTTACTCTGCACTGACCATCTCCAAGTGGAAAGTGTTCATCAGTAAGGGGGGCCCTACATTCACCTGTGTATATATACACTCACTATAGATAGATATATATATATATACATATATATATATATTTTTTTATTTTTTTGCTCTATAAATTGCTGTAAATGTGAACTAGTGCAGGTAATACAGAGTAGCAGTGTAGAGGAGAGTACAGTGCAGGCAGCTGATAACAGTCAATGAGGAGAGAGGGAGGGCGGGGGAGGAGTCGGCTGTGTGCAGTGAGAGATGATTCCTCTCTGCCTCATGGGAGTTGTAGGCAAGGAAAGATGTGCATGTGACCAGAATCAACGTGGATGGCTCTTACTAAGTGACAGGAAGTGTGAGGAGAGAGAAGAGCAAGGGGAGCGAGCAAAACAGACTTTCTAAATGGATTTAGATAGTAAAAAAACATAAATAAATGTGGTTTTGGAGAATGTCCATTGTGTAGATGTGTATGAGGAGAAAAAAGCTGAGAGTTTTGTGTTGCTTTAATGTGATAAAAAACTATTTGAAAATGGGATCTGATCCTGGCAATACTGGGGGCATCAGGGTGACTTCCCTGTCCTTTAGAAGAGTGCATTAACAAAAGCTGTTTTTTTTCTTGATTAAAATTGTTTCTTCTCTTAAAGGATAACTGTCCACTCCTTCCTAACTCTGGACAAGAAGACTTTGATAAGGATGGTATGGGTGACGCATGTGATAGAGATGATGACAATGATGGTGTAGATGATGAAAAGGTAAGGGCAAACATTACCATAGAATTTGTACTTCTAGCATTTGACCAAAAATACTTTAAAGAGAACTATGGGCCAACCTTTTTTGGCCATAGTTCTTTTAATGATTACAGGAGGACAAATACTATGTCCTCCTGTGCACCAAAATTCAGCATGTAGCACGCTATCGTCCGCCATATGCTGACAGCGCAGGACCGGGACAGATCCTGACAATATTGTCAGGACTCAGCCTGCTGACTAATTGACAGCTGGCTCTGTCCGCCCCCTCCCCCATCCATCCCTCCAGTCAGCACTGGAGGAACAGAGAGGGGAGGGGTGAATCCCTGACAGTCACTGCTCTCTGCAGGGAGAAGATCGGGAAATGAGCGATCAGCGGTATGTGATCACTCATTTACCAATCTATAGAGCCGACGTGTGACAGCTTCAGTGTCACACGTCGGCTCTAATTATGGGGAAGAGTGTATTTCATAATTCTCATTTAAAGTCACAAATTGCATATAAATATATATCTATAAATGTACTTTTTATGTCATCTGGAGTCAACTATGTGGCAAGCTTCCTTTCATCTGAACAGCACCACAGCAAGGGCTTGTAACTAGGCTGAAAAATGTAACCAGCAAAACACCCTTAAATCATGTTTCCCCTGCATATGCTATAGAGTTGAGTCATCACTGAGGGAAGCAGAGGTGTGATTGGCCTGCAACCTGAACTTGCAACCTTTGCACTGTAAAATGTGAGAGCATTGTGAGATTTAAGAGCGGACATTGAAAAGTCTGTCTCATTTGCAATATACTAACCTTTTGGACAGTTACAAAATATAATTGCATTCATACGTTTTGCATCAAGCAGTTACATTGCATTACTTGTACTTAAAAGAAAAATCCCAGGATTATATTTTCATGAATGTAGAATGCAATCTTTAATAAAATAAGGAACACTGTGTTGCTGGGACATAGGGTGACTGAGATATAATATATTTTAAAACACCTATAAAGGATTTATTATTTTAAGACTGCAGTTTGTTGATTGTTCTGGCTATTGGAATGTATATAGTTACAAATTTCAGTCTGATATTCAACCATCTTAAAAGAGATCAATGGCCGAACCTTTTTTTTTGGCTGTAGTTCTCTTTTAGGTCATATGAGTACATTTACTAATGTAGTCCTGTGAACCAAAGTCAGCATCTAGTGTCTACTGCCGGCTATATGATGACAGTGCAGAGCCGCACTGCAGCTGGGAAGGATCCCAACAATCTTGCAGGATCCACCCTGCTGCTAATTGACAGCTGGCTCTGTCTTTCTAGAGCCAGAGCCAGCTGTGCCTGTCCCCTCCCCTGTCTGTCCCTCCAAGAACGCTGGAGAAATAGAGAGGGAGGAGGGAGGAATCCCTGCGGAGGATGATGACTGACAGTCACTGTCCTCTGCAGGGAACAGCCATGAGCTGAGCCATCAGCGGTTTGTGATAGCTCAGTTCTCAATCTATAGAGCCGGCATGTGACAGCTGAAGTGTGAAACAACGGCTCAAACTATTGGGAACGAGTACATTTTACTCGCCCAATAGTTCTCCTTTAACACAACTCAGTATTGCTGGGCTGGGCTTTCGATGACACAAAGTGATTTTGTGTTTTAAAGGGAATCCACTCTTTTATAACTTTTGTTTTCTAGCAATGCAGTTGCCAGAACTACCTCACTGAAACATACAATGTATATGCTGTTAACTAATTGGACAAAATATAAAATGAATTACACACAACTATTTATTATTGTTATCTGCAAGCTTGGAAGCATCCTTGGTTGCAACATTCCAGAAATGAAATTGAGAATAGTCATTCAATTGAGTCAGTCCCTTGAAATATACACAAATAATCTCAAATGGAATAATCTGATGTATAAGATGTATATATGAGGAAATCACAGATTTCACAACTTCCGTTGCATGCTAATATCTAAACAATTCAACAAAAAGAATTCACAGGCCGTATAGTGGTTAAATTTAAGTGCTTTTTTCCAAAGCCGGAGTTTATTGCAATAATGGTTGATATCAAACTACTGATGCAATATATGCATATACTGTATTACAATCATACCTCACTTGTATTTCAGTGGTTGGGCCTGCAGTTTACTTTGTCACTGTTTTACTTTTAATTTTTCTCAATGTCTAAGTTGTATTTTTTATCGTTTCCTATTATTGTAATCAAAAAAAGAAAGAGTACTTGTCAGTCAGGTGGTATGGCACTGTTGGTGTTTTCTATTTGAACCATTAGACCAGCGGTCCCCCACTCCCGGGCCGCGGACCGGTACCGGTCCGTGGATCAAATGGTACAGGGCCGCCCACTGAACATTAACAGGGGTGTGGAATTCGTATCGCCCGACGCCCGGGACATGTAGATCCGGGTGCCGGGCAAGTGCTTTTTACACTGTTTTAGCCCTGCTACGGACAAGTAGCAGGGCTGGTTTATTTTTTCTTAAATGAGCGCCGAGAGCGGGGGGCGTGGAGCGCCGAGAACGGGGGGCAGGGACGGAGCGTGGAGCGCGGGGGGTGGGGACAGAGCAGGGGTGTGGAGTAGTGACAGGCTCTGTCACCTCCCTCAGCCTCTGTCCTCATCGGCTGCTGCTCGCAACAGTGCCTGCTAGAACTCCTCTGTTGGAGGTGACAGGTTGAATAAAGTGTACCTGTCACTTCCAAATGTTATCACACAGGGGATTTGTTAACCCCTGTGTAATAGCAATACAGTTAAGTTTAAAAATAAATAGTAAAAAAAAAAAATTAAAAACGTAACAAAATAAAAAGGCGATAAAGTAAAAATAATAAAACAAAACAAAAATACCAAACATGATATAATAAGTCTTTACTGTTTGTGTTCCTCAAGCTTTAAATCATATTTAAATATAGGTCCTATGTGCATTGCTCTATCGGTATGTCGCATTAGCAAGGCTATTATCCAAATTTCAGTGTAATAGCAATACAGTTAAGTTTAAAAAATAAATAGTAAAAAATATTAAAAACGTAACAAAATAAAAATGTAAAAAATAAAAATAATAAAACAAAACAAATAAAATGTTTTCAAAGTAAATACAAATTGAATAAATGAAAACCAGCCCCGCTGCCCCCATCTGCACGCGAATAAACGCGCAGCGTTTTCAACTGCGATTGTGTGCAACCGCACGGGCAGGGCTGTATTGCAGCAGGAAAATGCTCAATCTGCCTGGCACGACTGTGGTGCCATTAGAAAATAATGGCACTGACAGCACAAATTTAAATTATTAAATCAAAACAATCTAAAATATAAACAATTGACGTCCCCCCCTCAGCGGGCCGCGGTAAAATTATCAAACGTTGACTGGTCCACGGCGATAAAAAGGTTGGGGAGCACTGCATTAGACCACAGTTATTAGCAAATAAGGTGCAAGAAGGTTGTCCTCAGAGCTCATGAAGATATACCATAAAGACAAAATTAAGTCTACCCTCACCAATATAGGCTTTACAAAATTCATCTACATGCTTCATCATGCTTTATGACCATCAAATGAATCCTTGGATCCTTATGACCAAACAGAATAAGAACTCTCTTTATAAACTGAGGTTGGTTTTCTTATAAAAATATTTTGGAATTTTTAAACAAGGTAAATCCCATTCTAAATAATTTTCAAACCATATATAGACCTTGTGGATGACCAGAGAACCAGAAAAAATATCTAAATTCATCAAAATTGCTTTTTATTTAAAAATGGATGTGAACTTTTGCCTATTATCCTAATAAATACTCCTTTGTTAGCTTTGTGCTCAACTGTAGAGCATAAATTGGCACACGTATGGCAGAACCTTATGTGATCAAATTTAATTTTCTACCTGTAACTTCCCTACTTTGATAGGGAATTCTAAGAAAATATTTACGTGTTCATTAAAACTGTCAAATGCATTTTGCAACAGCCTGAAAATATTATTTACATTATATGCCCACACATCTGAATAAGAGTGGAAGTGAGAGTTTATGCACAGTTTATCCACATTGAGTTAGTTAGAGTCTATTGCACTGTTCAGCTCTCTCTAACATGTCTTTAGGCACTGGGAGTTAGAGGAAATGTGGTGCTGGTAAAGATGGGGGTGAATGCAATTTACAGATAAAAAAAGGAGGATGTAGAGAGAATTAGGGTGATTTTACTCCTAGTACAACAAGCAGACAGGCAACAGGGTATTTATCATGGGGAATCAATGCAAACTATGATGTGTTAGTTTCTAATCATGCCATTACATCATCAGGATGCATACTGTACTTAAACATACAGAAATGAGAGCTCTAGTTGTTAAATGTAAGCCGTCACCAAACACAAATCTGAATTTTTTAAATTCCTGCTTGCACTATATGTGTGCCTTTTAAAGATGGAACCCCAAAAGCAGTTAGTGTCTTTCTTACAAAAGGTTTGTTGTTTTTCTAAAATTACATTTGAAGTCCTAATATGTTTTGTGGTAAATTTAGATGCAGTTAGCTCATAGGGCAGTTCTTCAGCTGGTGCTTGCCCAACTGAATACAGTCTCATATGGTCTGGTAGCACTTGCTATATTTGATCCCTGAATACATTACTGGGGTTTCTGTTATTCTTTGCTAATATATGCAATGGCTCTTGGTTGCTTTTGTTGTTGGAATTTTTGGCATCAACCACACACTTCATAAGGATTTAAATGCCATTCAAACCACAAGCTGGAACATATTATACATGTTACAAGCTTAATGTATTTTTTTTTAATATGGATAATTATGTATACATTCAGAGATTAGGCAACAGGGGATAATTAAAAAGCAGTGAAGGGAACAGGGGAGGCCACAGCAGTGTCTGTATTTTATGGGAGTGGCCACTCTTTGATTTAAAAGTGGAGCTCAACTAAATATATTTTATTTAGTTTTGGATATATATATATCAGTGGAGACAGAGACTGCAAAAATACCTGTCAGAGGTTCTTACCTTTGCTTATGGCACTGAAGCAAGTGTTCTGCTTGCTCTGTGTGTTCCTGCTGAAGAGATTTCCCATCACTTCCTGTTACAGTGACCACTGTCACAGGTATAGCAGGTCAGGGCCCCACCATGGACACGAGCAGAAGTAAAACCTACTCTGAGATTATGGCCTTTCTCCAATCTAGAGAAATGTTTTGCGTGGATTTACCTCCTAGATGCTCAGGCTTCCCCTTGTAGCTTCCACTCTAGATCCTTGATTTCTGACACCTTCTTTAGCTGCAATTTTGAGTATTAGTGCATCCCATTGTGCATTTTCCATGGCTTGGTTGGGTTCCCCACACCATGGCATGTCTGATTCCTACTCTGGTAGCACCCAACCCTTGTGAATGCTATCCCATTTAGTATCACAGTTCTCCACTGACCTGACTTTTCAGTAGTTGTCAGACCCTTCCTAAGGCACTGACAAATATGGCCACCCTAGTGCCTTTTTTCCTGGCATACCCATTGTGGAATGTTCAGGAGACCTTCACTGAAGACAGTCAGTGTCCTAGTTGCTCCCACTTCTTGCTAAGCTGAGGTTCCTATTGTCTACACTCTGTGGATTTTTGTCCCTTACCTCTTAGGGGTTTATAGAATTGCCAGGGTGTTTCATTTAACATGGTCCCTCTTCTGCTTTCTCTCAATCCTTATTTTTTATTTCTCCCTTTGAGTTAGAGAATATGGATTATGGGTGGGTAGCAAGCTGGATTCTGACCATGGTGGAAATTACCCCTCTCCCCCATTTCTGGAAGCTCCTATGCGCTTGTCTACTCCTTGAGTCGGGTTCTATAGAACAGACAGTTTTCTAGGTGAATGGGGCATCCCTCTTTTGGTCTTTTATCTGACTTCTGCTGCAGCACATCTGGGGGTTGCAAGATCTTCACATCTGAAAAAAATGTGAGAACTTCCCCTGTATCTGAGCAGATGACCTATTCATTACACTAGTAAGTGTTGGGTGTGTCATTCGTGACCACTCTGTTTTTTCTTTCAAAATTCAAGGTATTAGTTTTCAGATCTGATGTCCCCACTTTGAAGAGTGAGGGTTCTGCATATGAGTGTGCCTCCTTTCTGCCTTGCAAGGAAGAATTTCCCTGAAGGGTCAGCAGGCAGGTTACACTGTTACCCCGATACAACATTTTCGCTAAGTAGTATAGTGTAAGTTCACAAGCCTTTGTGAACCTGGCTATTGGAAGCTAGATTCTCTTTGTGACTGAGCTTCAGTCTTCTAAGAACGTCTTCCTACATTCCTTCCTCTTCCTATTCTATATCAGACTAATATTCTTAGTTTTAGTACTACAATTTCTAAAATGGTCCTCTACAGAGAATTCTGCCCTGAAATTGCTAAGTTTTATGATCCCATGTGTTCCATCATGAGCTGTCTATAAGATAAAATCCTTCTTTTTATGGAGCTCCCTCTCCCTAAAGTCTTGGACTAGGGACCTAAAGCCTCTGACTGTTGACTGGTTGGTCTTTTTTTCTAATTATAACTGCAGTTAAAAATGCTATGCTTAAGCCTTTGTGCTAGTAAACATTGCTTCTTGTTGACAACCTAGTTTTTGATCCAGAATTTTCTACTGTTCATTTAGTTTGTTGTTCTACTTGTTTCATTAATGTGGATGTTTGGTTATCCTCCACATAACTAATTGAGGCCCATCGTTCTTCATGTAGCAGTGTTTTTTACCTACTGGTGATTATCTGTCCTGGTTTGGAGTACTAGGTTGATCCTAGGTTTCCTTCATTTAGGTTATGGCAATTCCATATTGGTTGGCCCTAGTTCTTCTATCCTTTGTTCAGACATATGATTTTCACACCTGTTGGGTCTCTTAGTGGCTGTTTTCCACCCTACAATTGGACTGCTTTTGGATGTTTCAACTGTTTAAGAATTCCTAACATTTTCGTCTCGCTCAATTGACAATAAAGAAAATAAGACTTTTGTACTTAATGTAAAATCTTTTTCTTGAAATCTATTGAACCTATGTCCTCCAATAGACTTCAAGAAAAAAAAATACTGTAAGTAGAAAAATTATGTTGTTCCATTAAAAGGAATGTAAAATAATTTTTTTGGTTAAATGTGGTTTTATACTGGTTAAATATTATATGTCAAGTAGCAATTGCATCTGAGAAAATACTGCTTTAATTACAGAAGATGTGAAAAGTGCAAGGGTAGTAAATACTAAATCTTCTTATCAGAGATACAATTCTATTTTAGAGATTAGATAGCTTTCCTTTGTTGTGGCTAGACTACTCTGTATTGTCTGGATGAGGTTGCTGTACTTAAGGTCCTTCAAATTCTTTTTTTGTCATCTCTATTTTAACTTTTACTGGGAACCATCATCAGACATCATGTAAAGCAGCCATTCTCCAGAGAAGGGCAAGACTGCTACACATTCAAAACAATTCCAAACTGAGGATAGCGGTTTAGCAGTACTCCTGTCCAGGATTTTTTATGACTTCTTCCATCTTAAAAATTACAGCTTCAATGTAACCTATCCTAGATTTTCCATTTTTGTCAGCAGAAAAACATTTCAGCTGGCCCCAAGTGCCTGCTGGCTTTAGATTCTAGACTAATTTGCTCACTCCTTTATTACTTTTATTTATCATAAATTTTACATTTAGATCTACTGGCATGGTTTTTGAACTGTTGCATCCTTTTACTACATTTAATTCCAAGTAAATGTAAATGGTCCAAGTTAAATTGTATATAAACATACATTTGTTTTCTTTTTTAATTTCGTTTGGTTAGAAATTCAGTCCATTTTTTATTGCTGTTTGTTTCCCCTCTAGGTGGGTCACCCTCACTTTCCTGGTGACCACTGTCATTGGGACTCAAAGTGGGGGAAACTCCAAAATTAAGAATTGCTGTATCAACTAAAAGAGATTTCACCTCCCATTGGAAATATTTAATCTAACTTCCAGCTGTGTTTACAAGACAGGAAGTGAAGAAAAATCTCTGACAGGGGTTTTAACTAATCCCTACTCTATCCAAATTAAAAAAAAAGTGTTTGGCTTTAGATGCACATTAAAGCTGAACTCCAGGGAAAATATAAAACTACCCTTACAGTGGGGCTCCCGCTGCACAGCAGGGGTTAAATGCTTGCTTTTGCCACCATTAAAAAGTGGTTTTACTTATGTTACCCATCGTTCCCCTGGCAGCCTTCCCTCCGATGCTCTAGGTTGTGGGTGGGCCCTTAGCATCCACACTTACAACGCAGGTCTGCATTGTACGTGTTGATGTCAGATTATGTTGAAGAGAAGAGGCTTTAAGGGACTGGTCAGATGGAGAAAAGTAAGCCTGACGGAGTGAGGGATAAGGTAAGTAAAACTGCATTTAATGGTACCCTAAACAAAAATGAGCATTTAACCTTTGCAGTGTGGGGGTTGCCTCATTGCAAGAGTGGTTTTGAACTTTTCCCAGAATCCAGCTTTAAATTTACACATTTCTGTAATATTAAAGGCTTTTTTAGTAACTGAGAATGTATTAATTTGTCACAGAAGCAGTTCATAATTGATAGATCTTTTGTATTTCATGTTAATTTAGTCATACCGTTTTCAAGCACAGACTTTTCTTTTTTCAGTAGCTTTATATTTATTTCATATCCATTATATTTAATGTGATCCGTTAGTCAAGTAACATACATTTTGGCAATCCAGTTATATGTTATTGTTAGCACAGCCATGCATTTTATTCAGTAGGTCCTGATAAAATGATTAATGAAACGTAAAAAAAAAGCATGCATAGATTTGCAAGATTGCTGAGACAACTATATAAATCGATCTGTCTCATTACAACATTTTTTAGATATTTATGTTTAACATGCACATTTTCTTGCAAGCTCCAACAAAAACCTCCTTTCCTGTTTTCTCTCATGTCATGCTCATACAGCATATAAAAATCATAAGAATGTCCACTATCATTTAATATAGCATGCCTTGGTGTGCACATCCAAACTTAATTGTTATACAAGCAATGTTTATCTCATAATGTTTGTGTGCTAATTCTTGTATAAAGATTATGATTCAGACATAAATCAGGAGGAAACTTTATAATCAAAGACCTGGTCAGTGTCTTGGTGCAAATTACCGAATGCCAATTAATACAATACTGTGTTTAATTAAAGTAGAACACCACCCTGAAGTTTTATTGTAGTTTTAAACAACATAGAGAACATTTAGCACCTCTGGTACATGTTATTGCTGTCTTTGTCCTTTGGAAAGATAAACCTTTATTATTTGTCATGGTTTTCTTCCAATAGTCTAATTCATGGTTGGGCACTGCTATTTTCACATACCTTAATAATCTGCCAAACACTTTTCAGAATAATGAGAAACAACTGGGTTATTAAAGATCACCCCTCACAGACACAGCCCTCAGTCTAGGGTAGATAATCATCCACGTCTTTTGAATGGCTTGGAACTCATATAGCGGTGTAGCATCAAAACTGCAGAGTATGTCTTAGGCCACCATGGATAGCACTTTGTGATAAAGTGATAAAGTGTGTTTATTAGCTAAAAGAAGCTTTCAGAACTTTATTATACTTTGTAAGATATGTGGTAAAGGTGTCTCAGACATCCTATCTCAGGTTTACTTTTTATAACAGGATATGTCAACCTTTTTTCTGCAGAAACGGTCAATAAAATGTTACAATGAAGTTACTCATACTTAAATGCATCAGCATAATAAGGAAACATAGGATTAAATTAAAGCTAACCTGGAGCTATCTAGACAATACTATGGGCTTCATTTATAAAACATTTTATACTTGTCAATAACACCTAAGGGTATTATTGCGGTGCCCTTGGCATCCGTCCAGCACACACGCCGGGCAGCATATTGTCAAACAACAATCTCACCAGTAATATAGTAAAATAAAAATTAAAAAAACCCTTGATTTTTATGTTTCAGGATAATTGCCCTCTGCTTTTTAACCCACGTCAATTTGACTATGACAAAGATGAAGTAGGAGATCGCTGTGACAACTGCCCCTATGTGCACAATCCTGCCCAGATTGATACTGACAATAATGGAGAAGGAGATGCCTGCGCTGTGGACATCGATGGCGATGGTATGTTCTTAGTTTTTTAATTTAGGCTAAAGTCAATGTAATCATGTTTAACAGTTACAATCTATATTTGAACAGTAAATCATTAAAGTATTTGTGAAGTCAGTCCAAAAAAAAAGATAGTATACTACTGAGATTAACTTTTTTTTACTAGTAATTAAATGTAGTTGAAATAAATTGTTTCTATACCTTACTTTTTGGTATTTTATTCGATGGTCATGTTACCATGTGACCTCCCTTCCCGACCATCTTCCTGAATTGGGAGGGTGGGTAGAAGGCAAGAAGCCGAATGTATATATGACTTGGATGTCTCTATTTAATATTCATTACAATTATGTTTTTTTTTTATTTGTATAATTAGTTTCCTTTATCATAGTTCAGCTTTTTTGCTCTTGTGCCTTTTGATCTGATGTGTATCTTTGATTATTTTTGTTTCTGTAATAAATGTAGTTAGTATTTATAATCTACATTATCTGCTACCTAATGCTGTATTGTCAATAGTGTGTTGGATAAGAATGGTTTGGGGATGGTATTTAGCACTTCAGTTGTTTATAGCAATAATTAAGGACATAAGTCTGGTATGGAAAGCTTTGCATCGCTGTGTTTTTTTGCCCTTGATGCATGCTATTCAATAAATAGTCTATTGTTTATATTATTTTAGTTTTTTCTGTCACGGACCTCTTTTGTTACAAGCAACATTTTTCTTAGAGCTTAATGGAAGCCATAGCTATAGATATTCAGTAAAGTAATATTATCCTACAAACCTCCATTTTGAGTCTTACTAGCACTTTCCTGCTATAGCACTTGCACTGTGTGTATTATTAGGATTGTGAAGTCTAGTAGGCACCAGAGTTTGACCAAGTTGCCCAGAGCACTTAGAACTTTGACCGACCTGGTCAGACATGCTGTTACTTATCTAGGCCAGGATAGAGTTCTGGAGTTTGAGTGCATTAAAGGGTATGTTTACTTTTGTAACTATGTTTCATGTTACTCCAATATTTAGGGTATAACATGGACATGGTTACATCCCCAAAACCAACCGACCCCCACTTACCTGAATCTGGGGTTTTGTCCCTTCTGGCTACGGTCTTTTTCTTTATTCAACACAGCTACGCTCCACCCACACAGGTAAAACATCCATTCACAGATCTTTTCACAGTATCTGTCAATGGAGAGATTAGAAGTCCCATCCACCACCACAGTACAGTGGTGTACAAGTGCAGTGACATCATTGTGTCCATTCATACTTCCTCCCGTCCCTCAGCTGAAAGTCTGTATCTTGGTATGGACAGGGTCTGGGAGGGACAGTCTGCAGGGGCCAAAGCATTGCGTCTTCAATTTACTTATAGCAGTTGCAATGCTTTGCAGGCTCAAATGCAAAAACATAATGAATGCAATTTTTTTTCTTTTATTAATGTGTGTGCATTTATTATTTTTTTGCAAAAGCTGGGCTAGACATTAAACTAAGGGAAAAGGTATTTTGAAACGGACTTGAACACTGAAAAAAATTGCTAGTGGGCATATTTTATTAGTGGAAGAGACTATGTAAATCTCTTCTGCTTAAAAATTTCCTGTTACTTTTAACTAACATGTTTTCCCCAAACACTTCCAGCAGCACATGGTTATTGCAGTCCACACTGAGTGGTGCCTAGTGCTGAGATGGGGCAAATTTGTTGCAAATGCACAGGAGTTGCATCATCACTGGCTGACTATGACTGTAAGACTCTGCCAGCAGACAAAGCATCTGAAAAAATTGCATTGACAGCTGTTGAGCCACAAGGGAGAGCAATAAGTATTTTGAATTGAAATCAGTTAAGGTTACCCTGTCATTGCAATTGTTTATTTTTCCTATTATGTGCAGATAAAATAAGTAAACAGAGTTTGCTTTTCACATGAGTGGATGATTAAAATGAATATTCACACAATTTAGTGAAAATTCTAAACTTCTTTAGTAAATCAGCTTCCACCCATTGGTCTGAACAGGATCTGTTGAAAACAGTGGATTTTTTCATGTGAATGCATGTAAATGCTGCAAAATGTTATCTGGTGTGCATGGGCTTTAAATCAGTTTGATATAGCCCAGAAAGGATACAAATACCACACTCCGATATCCTCCACTGAATAGTTTAATTTCACAGATGTCACGCATTTCATAAATTAATCATGGATAGCCATACTAGTTAGGCTGTGACACCAGGATTTATTTGCCAAAACCTGAAATTGTAGGTCCCAGCAATCCAGGCAAGGAGCAGGACAAGGAAACCTTTTCTTCAGAGGTGTCTTTATTAAGGACTTGTTCACATCAAATGGGGTGCGTTCCAGAGCGGTAGCTGCTGGAACGCACCGCAATCCCTAACAAAACCTCCCCCTGCGTTCTGGGGTGGGAGGGGGCGTGGTGGTTAATTGTATTCAATGGCACTGCTTCCACGCCCCCCCCTGCCCACAGTCCGATCAGACATGTGGCAAAACTTTGCCTGCGCTCCGTTCCACTGCAAACACAAAAAATAGAGCAAGCAGCATTTTTTGCGTTTGAATTCAATGCACCGCCACGCCCCCTCCTACTCCAGAACACAGGGGAAAGTTTTGTGAGTGATTGCCGTGCGTTCTAGCAGCTACTGCTCTGGAATGCACCGCAATTGGTGTGAATAAGCCCTAAAGGTCCAGTTTGTATTTACTTTTATTAAAGCACAACTCTGGGGGAAATACATTCTTAATCCTTACAGTGGAGCTATACTCACCTGATCCTCAAAGCTGACTGGCTCTTAGACCAGTCCTTCGCCTCGCTCCTCCTCCACTGCAGCAGTACATGGATCCTCAAGTCATCACGTTCAAAACAGTGTACAGGACATGAGGATTTCGAGGGACATACCATTGCTGGAGCAGAGGAGTAGACAGGCTGGAGGGAGAGCTGTCACAGCTGACCAGATCCGAGGATCAGGTTAGTATAACTTTTTTTAACCTAGACACAAATGAACAGTTAGACACAGTAAATAATCATTCAATGGTGACCTACATTCTGTTACTAGATTTGGCATTTGACTCTATTATGCAATGAACATTACGAAAGGCACATCTTGTCACTTTATTTAATAATAAGTCTACAAACACAGTAGAAACAAGCTTTGTTTTCATTAACTGTTTTGCTGTCTTACAGTGCAGTGGATTTCAGTCTGTTGTGTGTTATTAGACTTTTGCGTGCCATGTTGTATCTTCAGGTTTTAAAATGGTATTTTTTCCTAAGTGGGAAACCTCTTCACATGTCCACACCTAAAAAAACTAAATAAAAACTAAACTACAGAACATAAACCAAATATATTGCAGCTTGCCAGTCCCTAGATATGGTGGATGCATTTGTTTTAATTTTTCAGGCTCTGAACATTTTTAGCAAGTACACAAGGAGCTTGTTGATTTTTTCAGTTGGGGTCAGTCGCTCATTGCCTCTACCTTTTGAGTAAATTGAAGTCACCATAACTTCACCTTTGGAATTTTACCCATTCACTACTTACAGCATGGTATACAGACTATAAGATAACCTGTTTGTATGTGGCAAAGCAAAATAGATTGGAAAAAAGTATCAGTCATACAATATTCATCTTAATCTCTTTCCATTTAGATATCTTAAACGAATTGGATAACTGTCCATATGTGTACAACACAGACCAGGCCGACACTGATAAAGATGGAGTGGGTGATCAGTGTGACAACTGTCCTCTAATGCACAATCCTGACCAGGTATGCAGTGCAGAAATCTAAACGATTTCTTATGGAGACGGGCTAGGATAGACTTCAAGGGTGTTACAAAGTGGATTTCAGGCTAATTAACTAAAGGCGAAAATATACTGAACTTCAGAAGCAAGGTATGGTAATTTTCATTTAATCCAGACATAAGCTGGAGAATGCAGAATTACATGGAACTGCACCCTCAGGCAGAATAGCTGAACACAGTGAACGTCAATGGCAGTCATTCATAGCTAGAGGCTTTTGTTTGGGCAAGACAGTTCAATGTGAAATTTAGAGCTTCACGTTTCTTTTCTGAAAGACTCTCAAACAAACTCAGTCTTAGGAAAAACACAACTAACTATTGTGCTTTGGACTAAAAATACATTTGGGGTTTAGTATTAAAGAAGTAATGTATCCCGGATATGGCCAGTTTAGAAGTTTGCATGACAAAAAGTAGTATGTAGTAGTTCTAGCACTAGCTATATCATGTGAACTATAGATAATTTATATAGTCAATAGGAATAATGATATCATGATTAGTATATATTTGTAAAGGATTTATAACATTGAATAACTACTTGATGGTTTCTAGATTTGCTGTCCATTGCTCCAATAACAGATGACCCACACTTGCCACTAAGGGGTCTATTCACGAAGCAGCCGAAGGATCTAGCCATAGCTTCGGCCGATCCTTCGGCTAGCTTCGGCCCCAGGACCGAACCGAAGGGTTGCTGTACAGGCTATTCACAATAGCCAGTGCAGCTCCCGAACTTAGCCGAGCGGCTCAGTCGAGCCGAAGGCATATGCCTCGGCTCGGCTGAGCCGCGCTGAAAGCCAAAGCTGGCCGAGCAGCCTGCTTCTGAAGGCTGGGCGGAGCCAGCCGTGAATTTACGGCTGGCTCCGGCCACTTGCAGACAGATCAGCGTCCCTGGTTACCAGCTAAACAGGGACACTGATCTCCAGACAGCAAACTCTCTCCCGGCCGCCCAGGAGAGAAACACTGCTTTTCCTTTTTTTTTTATTATGACATGGAGCCCATTGGAATGCATTGCTAGATTCCTATTGGCTATTTCAATTTGTATTTGCATTGTACCCACCCTCTGCTGCAGTTCTCCATCAGGTGCATGAGCAGAGGGCGGGTACAATGCTAGTTTACTATTGGCTATTGCAAATTGAAATAGCCAAAAGGAATCTAGCAATGCATTCCTATGTGAAAAAATTCTTTTATTTTTTTCTATTCTGACACGGCTCCGTGTCAGAATAAAGAAAATAAAAGAAAAAACAGTGTTTCTCTCTTGGGCGGCCGGGAGCGGGAGACTCCCAGAGCACCCCGGGAGAGGTTTTTTTTCTTTTTTTTTTGACGGCAGCAGAACCGCCGGGCAATAGAAAACTGCTGGGCGGAGCTAGCTGTCATTGCTATTCCGCAAAATCGTTTTCTATTTTTTTTTAAACTTTTTAAACTATTTTTCTGTATAACTGAACAAACGCAAAAGATGTAATTGATGTAGATGGTCTTTAGTGATCAAGTTAAGCTGGCCATACACCTATAGATCTTCTTTTCTATCAGCCTATGGTCAGATGGAAAAAGTGCAACAGATTCCTCCATCTACGCTAAACTGTGTGGATGGAGGAATCTCCCACTGGGCCAAGCTTAAGTAGCTTGCAGTCAGCCCTGCTGGTTCTCTAAATACCTGAACAATGCCTGCATCCAATCAGATTGTTCAGGTATTTTGAGAGCTTGCGGGGCCGACTAGGTTGGCCCACTGGGAGATTCCTCCAGCCACACAGTTTAGCGTAGATGACGGAATCTTTTGCACTTTTTCCATCTAACCAAAGAAAATCTGCAGATAATCTATAGGTGTATGGCCAGCTTTATAAAGCAGCTAGGCAAAAATCAACATTTCATTTGCCTGATGTGGGAGCTTTTTGCCATTTTTCTCTGCTTGCTGAGCTGTCAAATGGGGAAACTAAAATGTGGCAAAATAGCTAAGGAAAAACAAGCAAATACATGAATAAACAGCAGTGTCTACAACTAAATATTATTTCCACTTAAAAATTATGAAAAAAGGTTTAATTGCAGTCGTTAAAAAGCAGTAACGTCCTGCTAAAAAAGAAGAACTTCAAAACTAACGTAGGAAAAAAGATAAAAGAACAGCATACCGTTGATGTTTCCTCTTGAAAAATAGACCCTTAAATGAGTAGACCCAATTTTACAAAAGTCTACACCCCCCACCACCACCACCGACCTCCTTGATAAAATCTATACCCCCATCATCTTGGTGGTAAAAATTTATAAAATATATATAGTACAGCCCTCAGAAGAAAAGGACCACTGACCTCTCTACCACAGCCTTTGCAGAAACAGGTAGTGTTCATCTCTGACAGCACCTTGGTTGTGCTCCAGCCTGCCATTATTATACAAATGAATGAATACATGCACCAGCTAAAGTTACCATGATCGAAGCACATGAGTGATATTTTCTATGGCTGTGGCCTGCACATGTGTGATAATTCGATACATAGCCACAATGTCCAAGCCTAGGCAGGCCACAACTTGGAGAGTAGTATTGCCTTGCATATAAAGTTTGTATAGTACATATATTTTATTTTTTAATAAGGAGAACAATGAAAGGGGAGGTTTTCAAAGAGTAGTCTACTCTATAAAGTTTGGACTGCTGAAACTTTATTAGAATTTAGTGTATTCAGGTGTCAATTCATAAACTCACATGCAACAAGATTTCAGAGGAAATGACTTGGATTTGAGAGCAGTTTGGAACATGTTTTAAATGCTTTTATTCTGCTCACTCGTTAAATTAGATAGAGGAGTAAAAGCAAACCAAGGAATGCCTGGTAAAAACAACAATGCAAGTGCACACCACTCTGAAATATCCACTCCTATATTCAAATACTGCTTTGCAAATGCTTCGAAAATGTTTCACAAATGCATCTTGAAAGCATACGCCCATGTATGCTGTACTTAAGAATTCAAATGTTCCTTTTCCTCTGATGTGTCTAGGGATATTGACTTGAGTCATAATACTCATATTACTACTGTACATTTCAACTATTTTATTACGCTACATAAAATGACATAAAAAGTGCATACATGCTTTGGATAAGGACAGAGATTTTTTAAGGATTTCTATATGAAGCTCCATTGAAGTGCAATAAAGTAGATGCTCTATACTGAAGACAACTACAGGAATCTAGTGAACACCCCATACTGCAACATTGAATTACAACACTGTTATCCAATTTAATAAATGAGCCTGCAAGGAATAAGAAAGACAATTATTGTTGAGAAGACCCTGTTGTCAAAATCTTATTGTCTAGACTATTGTCTATTGATGATTGCTTTTAGACTATTGTCTAGTCTAAAAGCAGCAAACCTTCTCAATAGACAGTTAGGCTCCATTCACACCTAGGCGACACCTATTATGTGTGCTTTACGCACGTCTTTTTTGAGCAGTTACGCGGGTATATTGTCACACGTTTTTATGATACGCATAAAAATCGCTAGGGAACATTAATACAGTTTAAAGGTTTTGAAAGCATTTATCTAATCTCACAATCATGTACATACTGAATTTTTATAGTCATTTGTGCTTCTCACCTTTTTTCTTACTAAGAATATTACCTGACATTCCAATAACATTCTGTGGAATGCATTGTAGGTCCCTTTTTAAATATTTAACTTCACAGATTACAGATTTAACAACCCACATTCTCATTTATTTCTATCTATCTATCTATCTATCTATCTATCTATCTATCTATCTATCTATCTATCTATCTATCCATTCCTTTGTACAATAAAAACCTCTCAGGTGTGTGGTATTTCACATATGCCTTTCCTGTGTACTCAGGTGACAACTCTCTGTCTAATTTAATAGCTATGACTGTTTACTTTCAGAACGATGTGGATAATGATCTTGTAGGAGATCAGTGTGATAACAATGAAGACATTGATGAAGATGGCTATCAAAACAATTTGGACAATTGCCCCTACATTCCTAATGCAAACCAAGCCGACCATGACAAAGACGGCAGAGGAGATGTTTGTGATTCAGATGATGACAATGATGGTGTCCCTGATGATAGAGACAACTGTCGACTTGTGTTTAATCCAGACCAGAAAGACTCAAATGGTAAGTTTAAAGGTTTTAACAACATAGATATGTTCAGTACGTAAAGAACAATTATAGCATTACTTAACTCACTTAAGTTAAGTCATTAAAACTACACTTTTATTAATAAATAGCATATACAATAATAATTTAAAGCTGTTAAAAAAATATGTTTCCTTTTTAATCTGGAGCCACTGTAATTGTGTAAATCATTATTTAAAATGTCAATGCAATATGGCAATCTTGAGGAGTTTGTGCATGGGACACCCCCTGAAATGTTGTTTCCTTCCTGTTTGATTGTCTGACTGATCTTCCCACGAGTCTGCACTAAGATACCAGTAAAGTTTTAGGCATCCCCTGCAATAGAAATTAATTTTTTGGGGGTGAGATACTTCCTAAGGGTTAACTAATTCTAAAGGGATGCAGACAGTGCCATTCCCTCATCAGAACACTGAAAGTTCACCAGGTGGTTGTAATGAATAACATTCTCCCATTCAGGAATCAGCTTGAAAAGGACATAGTAAAACACACAGCTTTTTCTTCAAAACAGAAATAGGTTGTAATCTGCAACATAGTTTGTTAAAATTCTTGCAGCATACATTGATCATCCAGATAGGATTGATTTTTTTCTAGACAAAAGTGGAGTTACAAGCAATGAGTCACAGTGACTGAGTGAGCGCAAGAGTCACAGTGTGAGTTCCATGAGTCTGTTTATAAAACTTCCACGAGCAATGAATTTAAAGAAAGATTTTTAGGATTAAAATATATTTCAGTTTGCTATCTAGAATATGTTTAAAAACCATTGCACTGAAAGTTTGATAACTGAGGCAAAACAATTAAATAGGTTGCAAAAAACTGTTCTTGCTGCACAATGGGGTAACCTATAGAATGGGCAAAAACTCTATGAGGTTTCAAATGTTAATATACAAAGCAAAGATGTGCAGTTAGAAAGCAGTGGACTTGTTTCCTGGACAAAACAATCCATATGGACTAAATAGGGCCCAAACTAAGATCCCTTGTTTCCACTCGGTATAGTTTAGGGCCTTGGTTCTCAACTGGTGGATCGTGACCCAAAAGTGGGTCGCGACCCCATGTTCAGTGGGTCGCCACCTGGCTTCCACTTTTCTAGGTGAGAACCTCCTTAGCCTCCCCCTATCAGGGCTGTCAGTTTTGGTGCCAAGCAGTCATTGAAAATATGCTGCCCGGCACCAAGTGTCAGCTTGAGGTGGGGTGGAGCTATGCCTGCCAGGGAGCTCCATCCATACCTGCATTGCTTACAACTCCCTCGTGTCCCCTGTAGAGGTGTCTGAACCGGAGTGACATCACATTATGGCTCCCTGGACCTCTACATGGTGCGCAAGGGAGTTGCACAAGCAATGCACATATGGATGGAGCTCCGTCACAGCACAGCAGCCCACACTGGACCCCAGGATGGGGGTTCACTCCAGTTCTCGTAAGGTAGGGAGACTGAGGGGATTTTGAAAAAAAAATCATTTTTGGAGTGTGTATATGTGTGTGAGATTGTGTCTGTGGTTGTGTGTGTCTGTCAATGTTTTTGAGGGCCCGTTCACACTAGTACAGTGTATTCATTGAACAGTCCTGTGCAATTAACGCAATGTACCATGCAATCACACCTACTATGCGTTCTGGTGTGGGAGATGTGTTGCGCTGCCATTCATTTGAATGGTACCCCAAACGCACCACCCGCCCACTGTTCAATTGCCCACACCGGAACACGTGGTACCGCAATGCCGTGCGTTCCATTGCAGTGCGACTTGGGTCGCGACTTAATGACCAAGGACAAATGTGGGTCCTGAGGTTACGCAGGTTGAGAACCACTGGTTTAGGGTACATTATAATAAAATCATTATAATTTAGTTATCTACTTTATAAACAGAAAAACAGAAAAATAAAACTCAACAGGCAACCTACATTGTTAACCCATGTAATTTGCCCTTTCCTATAGATATGTTTCATTTTTTAATTACTGTAGCTCTAAATTTAGAATTAAGATGCTAATTTACTAAAGACACATATAGGCTGTTAATTTCTGTTAATAGGATTTTCACGTTGCAAGGCAATTTTCCTTTAGCTTAGTGAATGATGTGAATCTCTGCTGACTTCCATTATCATACATCATGTGCAAGAAAAAATACAGTTTTTCTTCCCACATAATTGGGTATTCTTTGCAAAGCGAATTTTCACCACATTCACTCAGCAAAGGAAATATTCCCTTTTAAAGTGAACAGCGTATTTCCCTTTAATAAATTGACCATAGTATGTCTTTTTTAGAATACACAATCTTTTCTTTATATATTCATCAACTCTCCTGTTGTCATGTTTTGACTTTAATCCCACGTAAGGCAACAGCCATAAATTGTCTCCGCGAGAGTATCAAATTGTATGCTCTATACATATGATTTGTGTTTATGGGTTATATGGCATCCAGCCATATCTTTTCAAGTAGTTATGTACATTTCTATGACTGGACTTGCCTTCATCTGTGTCAGTTGCACAATATTCCCTAAAACGTTAAACCACCTGCACAATCCACACTAGCCATTCTTTCTCCCTTTTAATAATGTTAGTTTATGTGTTACAGCTGCACTTTATTTTTTGTAACGGCTTTTTCAGATGCTATGATCATTAGGTTTGCCACTTCTCTTATATATGTGAATCCTAACATCTAATTTAAAACACAAAATAAAATTTGAAATCTTTTGGAATCTAGCCATTGACCAATGTGTTGCTATTCTCTGGCCTACTGATTGTATGGGAATAAAACTGAGAATAAATCTTTCATCTTGCACCTTGAGTTTTATGGAGGGATAGAGCGTTACGTTCTGACAAAAGGGATTTAAGGAATTTCCACATCCAATTATCATAGTTTTCCAAACATTTAAGGGGGTTACTTATAAGAAACTGAAGACTATAAACTTGGTACAAAAGTGTTATGTTCAGCTAGATAACTTGTTTTGTATTATTTCGACAATGTAAGATAAAAATTGATTGGTTGCTAAAGATTCTATTCCCATTTTGATTCCATTATAAATATCCCCAAAAGTATTGTTTATGAAGTTGAATACCTTAGCAGGCACAATTGTAACCACTTTGCTATAGAAATGTCTCTTGAGTTGAAATAAATACACTGCTAACCCACAAAGGAACTACATAGTTGATTAAAATAAGGAAAAATTGTAAACAAAAAAAAAGAAATTAGATATTTTGCTATTCATGGACAGGTCTGGCTGTGTATGGCCACATTAGTAATTTTTTACTCTTCAACTATAGAAGACAAATCTAATAGATAGTGTGAGAGTTTTGCTCCACCTAGTCAGTCTCATAGCTATTGGGAAATCATTCTATAGACATCTGTTTATAACTATAGACACCTCTGGCTAATTTTTTGCATTATTTAGTAACATTTAGCCTTTACCCCCTGGGCATATTGTTTTTTGCCAAGAGTTTCCACAAGCATCAATTATTACTGTTTAGAAGATCACTTTAACCAGTATGCTCAGAATACTCAGTTTGTCTAAAGTAAAGCATGTCTTTCTGCAACTCACGTTAACGCAACACATGAAAACATATAAATGCAGTGAATTGCCGTGATGTTAATTTTGAATGGCACACTAATGCACTACTGCAGTAGCAGGCTTAGCAGCCAGACTGCAGCACACCACAACGTGCATGTAGTACATTGTGGTGCACTGTGGAAAAAAAGGGTTATGTCTTTTATTGTGTGTTCAGGTGACTAGAAAATTAAATGGGCTGCCTTAACACAGCGCACCTCAATATGTGACAATGTGCTAAGTCAACATATGTGAGTGTGTGCTAAAGAAAGTGTTAATAGGCCCTCTAAGTTGATTTTATTGTGACTGTTAAAAGTAAGCATCTGTTGGTACTTTTAGAACAAGCCCCAAATCTGCTAATCAGCTCTTACCTAAGAACATGTCCTACTATGATTGCTTGGAAGACTTTCGTTGCTGCTTTAATTTTTTGGTTCCGTGTCTGTTATTGTGTAGTAAGACTTTCCTGAAAATGTTACTCATTTTTCACCTGTAATCACACATGGCCCAGAGCTTGTTTCGTGATTTACTGTATCTTGATCCTGATAGAGAAGCCACAATACTATGTGCTTTATATTAAATATCCATTGTGGAATGTTGCTGCAGGCAACCTTGTCAGGGATAAAAGACCTAAGCTAGTCACTGCTAAATTACATACCTTGCAGCATGCCAGAATATCATAAGCCAGGAAGATCAGACTGTATCCCACATCACTGCCAACATTACTCATGGCAAAACTCAAAGGTTAATAGAATGTTTTTGTGATATTTTAACCACAGACATGAAGTGAAATGGACTGAAAGGAACATATTGCTGTAGAATGCAATATTATATTTACCATTCCTATGTAATATTTACTTACTGTGCATAAAAACAGTTCAAGAAGAACTCCGTTTACACTATTTCAAAACCTAAACATATATCATAAGCTTTTTCTGTAAAATAGAAAGCAAATTTGCCCCCCTTCCTATGCTACTAACTCACACTTAGGACATTTTAAAAAACTAGAAGGTTTAAAAAAAAAAAACTCTTGTGCTGTTTGCATTTGTGATTTTTAAACTTTTGACAACTACCTTATAATACCAATATAAATAAATAAACATGAAAATTGTGCCGCGCTCTCAACTCAACTGAATACCTAATCTAATTCAATACACAGATGTAGCATTTGCTGTGTAACATAATACTGTAGCAAACTTTAAGCGCTTCAATGTAACAAAATATATTCACTCAAACAAGGCGCCAGAATGATATGCTTAAAATAGATGATAGTCGCTTTAGTCACAAATCTACAATGCATATAAAAGTCCACTTGTGATGAGTATACATGCAGTATAAAGTGAATTGTGCATTCAACACTAGGGTGAATGTATTTAGCAAGTGATTAAACTGTGGATCAGTTTCTCTTCTCCCCGCTGGGCGCTGCGCTGTGTCAGAAGGGACACAGAGCAGCGCCCAGCGGGGAGGAGAGAAACGGGAGATGCACCACAATTTCGTCCGAACTATGGCACTTTCGGCATTTTGCCCAAATTGCCATTTTCTGCCGATGTGTTTCGGCAGCTGAAATTTCGGTGCATCCCTAGTTTATACCCATAATAGGATCCACTAGAAACAATAGTGTGCATTTTGCATTTTAATCAACCTAAGACACACAGATAGTGACATTAACACTGGCACTGACACTAACACTGAACCTAACGATAACACAACCTATATCAAGTACTGATCTAACTATTTTATCTTTTTTGTTTTTTTTTAACAGACTTTATACTAGAAAGCCTCCACAAATGTACAATCTATTTCTTTCACCTCGCAGAGAAAGAGATACAGGGGAAGCGTCCCGAGATCATTGTGCCTGGCTATTCATGTTATCAACTCCAAGTTGTTACTCTTAGACCAGTAGCTGTTGGTGACAGCTCAGACTTCATGCAGGGGGTGCACAATCAAATGCACTTCCAGCACAAAGGTACGCATATATGTGACAGCACAGCATAGGGCTCAGTCCCTGCTACCACATATATGCGTACAATTGGATTTAAGGCATTAAATGTAGATTTTTTTACACAGCAGCTTTTATTTGTAAAAAGTTAGGCTATATAGTATACTTAAATATTCTGTACTTATTTGTTACAGGTGATGGCCGAGGGGATGCTTGCAAAGACGATTTTGATAATGACAGCATTCCCGATATATTAGATGTCTGCCCAGAAAACAGTGGCATTAGTGAGACCGACTTTAGAAAATTCCAGATGGTTCCTTTAGATCCAAAAGGAACTGCACAGATTGATCCCAACTGGGTGATTCGCCATCAAGGAAAAGAGCTGGTTCAGACTGCCAATTCAGATCCTGGTATAGCTGTGGGTAAGCTTACAACCTTGTTATTTACAGTTTTTCAAGCCACAAAATTAGAGACAGTATCTGCAATATGGTTCTATATTAGACGTTTTTGGTTCATCTTTGAACTAAAGACAGTAAACTAGCTCCGAAAGAGGCTAAGAAGCATTCAGGCTAAAAGAGTACAGCACTGGTGACTAGAGTAATGCAATATTAGATATCATTATTGCATATTATTAGAGAGTGCTTTTGCCTAATGTCTATTTGTTCATATGTATAGAACATGCATATATATATACAACCTATATAATATTGGATCTGCCATTGACTTAGAGATGCTTAAAAACGGAAAAAAAAAGAAAACCTAAGAAAATAAACCACATGCCAAGAGTGCTTGTAGTTCAAGATTTTTTAATAGCATGCTCACAGCACCCAATGTATACTGAAAAATTCTACTCCCAGGAAGCTTCTCTAATGTTATCTCTAAATCTATCAATCAGATCTGCATGGTTGAACCGCACTTTAAATCATAACTAGCACATCAGGAGACCATATATTTCTAAATGCGATGATGCTTTTTTCTGCGACTAAAGACATAATATCTTTTGTAGGAGATGATGCATGTTTTTTTAACAGTACTTAGAGCATTCAACACAGTATGTCATATGCCAATCTATTTAACTATAATGAGTAGTATATTTTCCGGTTTGACATCTCCATAGAATTGAGGGCAATAATGGAATGTTTTCTAAGTTTACATATTCTATCACTTTCTTTGATTTATGTGTTAGAAAATGAATACGTTTTCATTTTAACTATATATTGTATATTATTTACTTTAGGCTTTGACGAGTTCAGTGCAGTCGACTTCAGTGGAACATTTTATGTAAACACAGACCGTGATGATGATTATGCTGGCTTTGTGTTTGGTTATCAGTCAAGCAGTAGATTTTATGTGCTGATGTGGAAGCAAGTCACTCAAACATATTGGGAAGATAAGCCATCTAGGGCCTATGGGTACTCTGGTGTCTCTCTGAAAGTTGTCAACTCAACGACAGGGACTGGAGAACACTTAAGGAATGCATTGTGGCACACTGGAAATACACCTGGAGAGGTATATTTGGCCATGTATATTAATTTTTTTATTAGAACTACAGTAAAACAGATGAGAATGAGAGGGCCAAGATCTGAACTAGTTTTACCTCCATGCTGCAACTTCTTTCTCCTCAATTTCTCCTGTGGATTGTTGCCTGAGCTCTGCCACAGATATGCTGACATGCAGATGTGGTGGTTAAACGTATAGTTGTAGGACCTTTAGATATACTGTACACAGTTACAAATATAAGCCAGATTTATAACTTCCGCACACACACATTTTCCTCCATCTGTTGCACTTAAGTTCTTTAAATTGTAATATATATTTTAATATATCATGTTGACTCATTGACACTTAAAAATTCAAATTTTTTCTAGGTAAGAACACTGTGGCATGACCCCAAGAATGTTGGCTGGAAAGATTACACTGCTTACAGGTGGCACCTGACTCACAGACCAAAGACTGGCTACATTAGGTAAGCTGTTACTTGTGGGAGATATTGAGTGTACATTTGCATTTAGTCACTAAAATATATTGGATTCAGTCACTGTGGATAGTGGAGATAACACAGATTACAAGCATACAGAACAAAGAGTTTAAATAGGAACTGGGCATGGGTAAGGGTGCATACTCAAACTTATAGTGAAAAATTAAAGAGACCCTTGTCGTAGACCAATCATTTCAAGGAAAATATTCTCATAAGATTATATGTGCATTCAAAATACTGTATGGTATTTGCTTGTGGAAGCCCTTCCGTATACATCTTGAAGCCCTGAGAATGCTGCTGGGTGCCACCATCTTGGATGTGTTGGCAGCAGCCCCAGCAGACTCAGAGCTGTTAATCAGTTGACACTCTATAGTATTCCCCTTCGCTTCTCTCTCAGCAGCTACATATAAGGCTGTGTAGAGAGGTGAGGGAAGGGGTGGAGATGCTATACTAACATAGAGAGTAATTAGACACTAGACTAGTATTTAAATACAATCGATTTTAAAAAGGCAACAAATCGGAACAAAATGAATTTGACAGTAATGTCTACATACAGTAAACAAAGTCTATCATATTAGATCTTGTCTTGGAAATCATTACTGATAACTAAGTTATATAGAAAGGAAACAGCCAGTAATAATATCCTTAGGACAGATAGTAATTACTCTAAACAACTTGTTTGTATTGGCTTCCCAGTTGGTCAATACTTAAGAATAAAATATTTCAGAGAATTCTGATTTTAGGAAGGAGGCAAAAGATTTCAAATTGATATTAAAAAGGAGAGAACAAATGTTTTAAAATCAGCCTACAAATGAGCCAAAGATAGTGAGAGGGAGGATTTATTGGAAGAAACAGTGGACAAATGATTGAACGATGAAGGGAATCTTTCAATCATCACTACTTTGTGTAATACACTTTGGGGCTGATATATAAACATTTCACCCAGTGTATAGCTATGTGAATGCTGTTTGCATGGCCTTCCCCCTGCTAGATGGAGCAGAGGATCATAGGAATTGCTTTACCCCACAGCTCCATCTAGTGGCGGGAATACAACGTTCCTTCACTGTCTTGGACGTGGACTCGTCCTGGCATAACAGCTTGGAATTATGTATGTTTGAGTCTGTGTGCTGGAAGAGTGGAATACATGAAGGATGTGTCAAAAGCTGGTTCTGCCGAGGAGCAGGCATACAGGAGGTCCCTTTGGATAGTGCTGGCAGTCTCCCAAAAGGGGATCAGAGGTTTCGAACACTCTTTCTGGATATTACCATATTATCACACAGTTTATTTACTCAACATGCATTTGTTGGAAGGCTGAAAGATTTTATTTATTATAACCAAGTATGATGAGTGAAAACAAAGAGGTAGATATTGGCACAGTTGCACTACTTATAAAGGTTCACTTGACTGCAGCCTATATACTGTTTGGACATTCCCGAAAGCGGAGAGGGCTATGATGCAGTGGTAGGAGGCTGTGGTAGGGAGTTGACTTTTCCTGCACGAGTCAAATTTTCTAGCAAGTCCTGCAGCACATTCCAAGTGAATACAAAATAATTTATGAAAAGGGAAAAAAACACTAGCAGTAAGCATTTAAAATTGTTGATTTTGCATACGAGTTCATTTTATTTTGTTAAGGTGTAAAGTATTTTAAGTTTCTCTACTTCCTTGCAGAGTTGTTGTGTATGAAGGAAAACAGATTATGGCAGACTCTGGACCATTGTATGACAAGACATACGCAGGGGGACGGCTGGGGCTCTTTGTGTTCTCCCAAGAGATGGTGTTCTTCTCTGATCTCAAATACGAATGTAAAGGTTAGTGTTCTTTTTGTGTTATCCCAACACAGGTGTATTTTTTCACAAATACTCAATGCACTCAGTGTTGTGTAAATACTCAGTATATGACTATAAGTATTATTTGCCTGAAAATTGTGAAGGATAAAAAAAAAAACAGAAAACTTGCCCAGTACCTGCTGATTTGTTTCATGCATACATACATCAACTGCTGACAAATAGGGATGGGCTCTGGTTTTAACCAAACCTGGTCCAATCCTGATCTCCTTCGGACAATGAAGCTTCAGGGTGCCACCCGCCCATTTAGCTGCAAGCCAGGGCATTCTCCACCCCTTTTAGCCAAATTTAGCCATATACCGTCAATGATGTCACTGCACCCCGCCCCTCTGCTTATGTGCAGCCGCAGATGGTGAAGTCCTCTGCCACAGCTGATTAAGTGGCAGTGGACCTTACTTCCGTGTTCGAAGGAGCTCATTCCGTTAAAGTGACACTAAACTCATGATTTAAATCCTAAAAATGGATTCATGGACCTTAACTATTAACAAAAATGTATCGTATTTGTGTATCACTGAGCTGTAGATCTCATATCATTTTTGAATTGGTGCTGACACTGTCCTTCCTTCTAGAGGGTGGCTACTCTTGGTCCCTATGATCCGTGTGTGTGTTGTAAAGTAGCCACCGCTCCAAGCTCGCTCCCCTGATCGATACAATCTCATGTTTAGTTTACAAATTTGTCTTGAGATCATAGTCGATCATGGGAGTGAGCTTGGAGCGGTGGCTACTTTACAACACACACAGGGATCATGGGGAACAAACAAGTACCAAGTAGCAACAAACAAAGAACAAGTAGCCACCCTCCAGAAGGAAGGACAGTGTCAGCATTAAATCAGAGATGATTTGAGGATCTACAGCCGAGTGATAGGCAAATAAGATACTTTTTTGTTAATAATTAAGGTACTTTAATATATTTTATATATATAAAATATAAAAAATAAGCCTAACTCTTGCACTAATTGTTACCCCTATGCTAACGGTAACCCTAATGATAACACTTACCCTAACACCTAACTATAAAACTGACCCCTCAATCACTATGCTGATCACATGGAATTGTTTATCAACAAAGCCATACAACAGAAGGTGGCAAAGTTTTGTGTTTAAGCAATGTCACACAACTAGGAGCACTACACTCCCCTAGCTTTAAAGGGGGTCTTTAATTTTGCCATATAGTGTTGCATGGTGAAATTATATGAAATTTTAGCTAAGGTGATTTTGTGGCAAAATCAAGTGTGGGGGAAATTGTGGCAAAATTGGTAAAAAGTGACAAATATTCAAAAACATGTCCAGATATGTCAAAGCCAAAGACATTTGTTTAATGTTATTAGAAAAAAGGTTAATGCTTTTAATGCTGATGGCTCTGGATATATCCCTAAATATTTCATTAGTATTTTCTAAAGTCAGTCAGCTATGTAGAAATGATAAGATAGACTAATCTGAAAATCTAGAAACTTCTTAAACATTGGGTGCATTATCGTATGGTTCAGGATCAAACAAGGTACTGCTTGCAGCATTTCAAATAAACAGGAATGGTACAGCAGTGATTTATGGGGTTCAAGAGAGATGGGAACATTAGATTCTGTTGTACGTGTTTACTAAATCATTTACTATGTTATCAACTGTAAAATATTTGCAAGACGAATGCATCATGTGACCCACTAATGTTTCTGCATGTTTAGTTAATTATTATGTAATGTAGTTTGCAGACATATTATAAACCATGCAGCTCTCACGTCTTTCTCCAGAAGTTTATAGGAATATGCATACTACTCTTTGGATTACATTTGCATTCTTCTTGCATGTTTGTTTGAATAAGCCCTGGATCTGCTTTGAGATAATCTTTATTGAGGATGTAGTGTTCCTTTAGTGCAAATTAAAGTGGAATTCCATGCAAGCAATGAAGTGTGCACAAACCTGTATTCACAGTAGAGGTTATGTTTAAAACGACCAATGGCAAGTAAACCTAAATGAAGTGTGTGTGTACACTGATGGTGACAAACAAAAAACTCCCTGACTACAGAAAAGTTCCCTGCATGATATATATCCAAGCATTATACTTTTGTCTCTTATCTCAGTAATATTTGTTCATGGGAGTCAGCCCAGTCTATATGCATTTTCATTAATAATTCCATATGCTTGTTAGAGTATTATATCATCTCGCAGTGTACGTCCAAGAAATGAATTCTCACATAGTACAACTGAACAAAGTCTCTGTAGAATTTAAAAGCTGAACATCTGGTGAACTTTTCTGTCATACTGGCCTTTACTTTGAATACACTGAAAAAATGTTGGTTCTGTAAAGCATCCAATTTTCCTTTGATGTCAAATGTATATACATACAAAATAAATCCAAATTAACCATTTGGATGTGTTGCACTTTAAAGAAACTTAAATCTAAATCTAAACTCTGGCTATTCCTCCCCTTCACCTGCTGCTTTTTAACCCAAGCTAAAACACTGCTATAATACTTACCATTTAGGAGCTTCAGTCCTCCTCTGGGTACCAGTAGGTCATTCTGGAAGCTGTTCAGTGCCATTGCCTTGTATGAAGGCAATGGCACTGAATGACTTCTCAGGCATAGCAGCCAATCAAACAGATAATGTCCCGTGGGCTTTGCCCTGGAAAAGCATTTCCATGCGTACCCAAGTTAATCCAAAGCTTCTAGTAAGTTTTACATTCGAGTTTGAAATAGTAATGAGATTACGAGAGTAATTGGGGGGAGGTAGCTAAAGTTTTGCGTTTAGGTGTACTTACTGAAATACAATAGAGAAGGTTGAGTTATACATATAGGAAAAGTGTCAAGGTAATACGTGTAATTTTCTTCTTAGAGCCTAGTTTTGGGGTTTGTTTTTGAGGAATACTAATATGGTATTATGTACCACAGTGCCTACTGTTTGTTTATTTATTTAGTTGGTTGATTCTAGCACGATAGAAGCAATTAAATGTAGACTGTCCCAAAAAAATGAAGTCAAATTGGAATGCTAATGAATGTATGTGATTTCTGGGCAAATAAATCAACTTAATACTTGTGATTCATCTAAAATATTAATGACTGGCATGTTTGATATACAGTCACTGGCTACTTTATTAGGTGCACCTGTTCAACTGCTCGTTAATGCAAATACCTAATCAGCCAATCACATGGCAGCAACTCAAGGCATTTAGGCACCTAGACATGGATGGTCAAGTTCAAATCAAGCATCAGAATGTGAAAGAAAGGTTAATTAAGTGACTTTGAAAGTGGCAGACGGGTTGGTCTGAGTATTTTAGAAACTGCTGATCTACTGGGATTTACACGCACAACCATCTCAGAGGAGGAGAATGACTAGACTGGTTCAAGCTGGTAGAAAGGTAACAGTAACTCAAATAACCACTCATTAAAATCAAGGTATGCAGAAGAGCATCTCTGAATGCACAATACATCAAATATTTAAGCAGATGGACTACAGCAGCAGAAGACCACACCTCTCAGCTAAGAACAAGAAACTGAAGCTACAATTCGCAAGGGCTCATAAAATTGGACAGTAGAAGATTGGAAAAATGTTGCCTATTCTGATGAGTCTTGCATTCTCATGCAACATTCGAATGGTCAGGTCAGAATTTGGTGTAAACAATATAAAAGCATGGATATATCCTGTCTTGTATGAACAATTCAGGCTGGTTGTGGTAGTGTAATGGTGTGGGGGATGTGTTCTTTGAACACTTTGGGCTCCTGAGTACCAACTGAGGATTGTTTAAATGCCACTGCCTACCTGAGCATTGTTGCTGACCCTGTCCATCCCTTTATGACCACAGTGTACCCATCTTCTGATGGCTAGTTTAAGCAGGTTAACACACCATGTCCCAAAGCTAAAATAATCTCATACTGGTTTCTTGAACATGACAATTAGTTCACTGTACTCAAAAGGCCTCCATAGTCACCAGATCTCAATCCAATAGAGCACCTTTGGGATGTGGGGGAACAGGAGATTTGCATCATGGATGTGCAGCCAACAAATCTGCAGCCACTGTGGGATGCTATCATGTCAATATGGACCTGCACTTTATTGAATCTATGGCATGAGGAATTAAGGCAGTTCTGAAGACAAAAGGGGACCAACCTGATGCTAGCATGGTGTACCTAATAAAGTGGCCAGTCAGTATACAACAGTTTTCTAACATGTCTGAGAGGCAAGATATAGGTTTTTTAAATTATTTTTTATAAATTCGTAACCTGGTCTACTAAACCTTACATGCTTGTACTCCATCACACCGTTGGGTCAGCAAAGTAGGCTGAATAACCCACTCATATTCACAGTACTATGCACCCTCAATGCACCGAGAGGGGTGGCATGTCCAATTATATGTGCATTAGCATTACAGGCGTCAAACACACTATGTTGTGTACATCCAGGTGCATATGGCTCACTAATGTTGTGCATGCTAGGGATATGAGAACTAAAGCAGCTGTAGCTGCAGTTACGTTTTGTATTGGAAGGGTTACTTAGAGAAGTCAACAACTGAAAATAAAATGTAAGTGTTTGTGTATTACAGAATCCCTACTAGTAACCACACTATCTCTAGGATGCAATGGGAATACCTAGCCAGCAGATTCCAAGAGTCATGTCATCAGCAGAAAATGGTTATAAAAGAAAGAAAAAAATGCAGTAATAGCTTTGCAGAAAATAGGAAAATAGACATAGATTCAGACATGAGCTGAACCTTTTTAGCTGCTAATAGAATTCTATTCCAAATCTTATATAAATTATTAATATACTGTATTTGCAAATATGGATATTGTTTCCTCTATTTTGGAGGATAAATGGGGTTCGGGGTAAGTGAGAGGTCCTTTTCCCTACAGTATTGGTGGTTGATTTCTATAAATGTTTGCACTTTTGTTTGTTTATGCCTGAGGAAGGGTCCCTGCATGGTCCCGAAACATTGCTTTTCTATGAGATCATAGAAAAATCAAGAGCTTTTCACTTTGAAACAAGCTTAATGGTTTGCTGGCAACGTATCTTATCCTCATGGGAATCCACATCACAAGTCTACTGAATTCTTCCTGCCCTTTTGCTTTTTATTTTAGTAAATCAGGCACAGTGTATGCTTGCTGTGATTTACGCTGAATCTTTCTAACCAACAATTTTGTCTATCCCTATCCAGTTCCAGACCAGTAGCACACTAATCTGTATCTTGACTTTCTTTACAGATGTTTAAGAACTTGTTAACATATTGTGTACTTTACTGTACATCCTGCGTGACCAAGACACCTCAATACACCTGGTACTCCTAAAAGTCTATAAAACTGTCTACACAGCAGCACCTCATAAATCCTGTAAGATCTATGTAGAAGATGAATCGAGTGTAGACATCCAGCACATCAATGGAGAAGAACAAAAACCTCACCCTGGACTTTGGTCGGGTTGATAAATCAGCAAATGTGGGTTATTTTTGTGACACATTTTTTGATGATGCAGTAAACAACATTTTTATAATAAAAGATCATTTATGTCTTTCTTATATTGATCAACTAATCAACTCACAGTTTTTGATATAGTGCATATATTATATCATTTAGACATTTTATCCATCAGTTTTAAATAATGTACTTTTATATTTCTCCTGGACTTTCTTATTCACCAGTGGCCATTGTTATGTATGTCTGATTGACCATTTTTATTTTTTACTACAAAGCAAACATTTAATCCAATGTCATAAGGTATTTAAGAGCGAGAAGCATTGGCATAATATAGCAGGGAATTGTACAGCACAGTTATTACGTAAAAATTCTAAAATCAGGTCAATTAACATAAATGAAGCTTTAAAATAAAAATGAATTACACTATCAATTTTATTATTTAAGATAAACTTGTAAACATCTAGATACAGTATATATCTAAATCTATGAGATACAAATCCTACATAACATTTATTTAACTTGACAGCAAAATTACACAAGAGTATAGAAGTGCACCAGTAAGCTAGTACCAATATTACAACATGCTCTAACCAATTTCTAGTAACACGTGTACTATAATTTTGTTTGCACCTATATATTCTATATAAATAAATTGCTTCATATTCGGTACCTAAAGTGCCAAATGACCCAATGTCAAATGTGTTTTATATGTCATAAAAACACCAGACATTGTAGGTTACACAATGCAATACATACATGAAAACCAGAAATAAATTGTAAGGAGGAGTCATTCTTTTCCCATATTTAGAGCACTCTGAAGGCTTAATAGAATAGCACCATATTCCTTTTTTTGCAGCTCAACTATTGTCATGAATCCTCCTTAGCACTATACAGTATTGTGTTTCTGTTGTCACTTTATTCAAATAAGACAATTTGAATATTGAGAATACTAGTTAGATGTGTGAATGTAGCCCACACTATGAAGTTAACTGCATCTGCTTACATGCCATGGCATATGTATCTTGGCACTTTATTTGTTATTAACAGTCTAGGATGGATAATGCACATACATAAATTCTTATAAAGGCAAATACATTATATATAGAGAAATAGCATAAGATGATATTCCTCAGGGAAAAATGTCACAGCCATGATGATAGTTACAACATATGTTTTGATTTTAGTAGAAGCACATACTTGCAGCTAGTGTGAGAAATTCAGAACATGGGGAAAAGATTTTCTTTGCAGTGGGCAACAAAACTTTGAAATGTAAAATACCTCAGATGCAGTCAAGATATGTACATTTCTGAATGTTATGTTGCCCCTTCTAATGACATAGCTTTTAGATTTGGTATTCTTTGAAAGTATTTGTCCCGCCCAAACTTTTAGTTTTTATAGAGGGATGAGGATTAGAACCCTTGTTGCACATCAAATAGGAGGGTGCACTAGCCATGGTGATACTGTGAAAATCCAAGAAAACAAATGGACAGCACGCCTAAAGACAATTTTTTTTACAATTTATATTACACCTTGTAATTTACTAAGGCTTAAGTTGCAATAACAACATTGTGCAAAAACACAAATAAAAAGTAAGCATAAAAAACAAATTTTTATTTCTGTTATTTCCTTTTTGTCTGCACAATGTTGTTATTTCAACTTAGACCTTCGTAAATTACAAGATCTGAACTTTTGTGTGTTCCCCACCCATTTGTTCTCTGGTTGTTATTGCTATCCGGGGCTCTGTTATGTAAGCCCCCCCCCCCACTTCTGTTTTTGTGATAACAGTTTCACCAGACCGGAAGTAGAACACAATATGCAACAGCAACACAAAAAGTAAAAGGCTTTTTAGTAGAGCCTGTTAGAACTTTTTATGACAGTCTGTGTCTCATTTGGATATCTTCCTTCAGTTGAAAATGTTGCCATCATGAAAGTAGGGAAAATCTCCCAAACAGAGATCCAGATAACAGTAAAACCCTGGTGGGGGTTCTAATCCTTCTCCAATACTATCTCAAATGAAGCAATAAAGCTTCATCTGGACATACACTATAAACCATCTAACATTAGAAATTTGTATATGTAGTTAGTAGAATTATGTTTGAATAACTAGCTTATTAAATGAGGTCAAATAACAAGCCCATCTACTACAGCCTCAAGCACAACCCACATAACCCAGATCAGTTCTGGGACCAAAGTGCCAAATCTTTTAGATTTGCCCATATGCATTTAAGTGTAAATCTGTAAAAAAAAAGATTGTTTTGGTGTGTGTAGAATTTTAGTGTCAAGATGTTATTACAGTAGCCAAAATTGATCAGGGCTTTCAACTCTAGAAAAATGTCTATAACTAAATGCCACAATAGTTAAGTACCATTAGCATTGGTCTTTGGTTTACCTTACCACTGTCCACTAAACATGATTTTATTAGGGATGTTCAGATACCAGTTCAGATACCAGTGCCAATACTTGGTATTTTCACAAGAACACCAGCGCTTCGACAAGGCACTGCTTGTCTTTAGCTCATCTTGAGATAGCCAAGCAGTGCCTTGTCAAAACGTCAACCAAGACCCGTAAACCAAGTCCATTTATATTTTATTGCCTTGAGTGCACCCGAGCAGCTTTTACTGTTATCTGAGTGCATATATGTACTTACTGAGGAACATGTTTTTGGAGGCAGCAGTCAGCTAAGCTAGTCAAGTAAGTCCAAGAACAAAGCTAATGCTGCTTTTATTACTTTAATTGCTATTGTATAAAGTAAAATACCTGTGCGTAAAGCCACAGATGAAAGTGGACATTTTCCGAAAATGAGTCAGTAAAGCTGAGCTTATTCTGCCTCACTAGGAATTATGTCACCGACCTAGAACTGGCATGCCCAACATTCAAGAGATTGTCAGCTTTAGGCTAAAACAGGTATTCTGTTTTGTGGGAGATTGCTTTAAGGTGCTTTCACATCACCTGCTGATTTATGATTGGTACAGTATCTGTTTTTTGTCCAAATGTATACTTTTTTTGTTATCTAACACTGAAAATAACAAATCGGTTTATTCAAACAGAAGACATTCTGCTGCAATATAACCTTAGATAGCTTTTAAAACATTCAAAGTTTATTTGATGAGCAAATATAATTTAATAAGGGAATTATTTTATACTTGTCACTAGTTATGCCATAAATGTTGTTCTTTATTAGCTTTATATGCGTATTACTTGTCAAAAATACTTTGCATTCTGGAATTATTGCACTTTTATACAACTGCTATGCATTTTTTTAATTTTTTTTGTGCGTTTTTTTGTGCTTTTTGTCAATTCCATGTTTTTAAACACACTTCCGTGATTCATTAAATGTAAGCATTGTAATTGATGTAGTGGCTATTTGGGGTTTGTTCTGCGAAATACTGAACGGGACGGAAGATGTTAATATTGATAGACTGTACTATAATTTTTTTTTCTTGTAAATTATTTGTCTTTTTTTTCTAATACTTTTAGGACTGTTTATGTTTTTAAAAAGTCAACCTGTTTGCAAAAGATTGTAAATAATTATTTATTGTTCTGTTGACAAAGCCTAAAATATACAACAATTAGACAGATACAGTCATTCTTTTTTATAGATTTTTTTTAATATTCATAATAGGAAATAAAATATAAACAAAGGTTTTAACAAAATATATCTCTAGTAGTAACATTATTTCTGTATATCCTTTGGGTGCACGTATCGTATGTATTCCTTTACATAATGGTTTTATGGACATCACCTTAAAAGAAAACTGTTGCTCATTGCTGGACAATTATGCTGATCCTTTGGCTTCAACAGTTTGAGTCATTGGGGTTGATTCACTAAAGGCAAATAGGCTGTTTATTTTGCAAAGGAATTTGTATTTTGCAAAGTATTTGCAATTTGTAATGGATGTGGTGAAGTCAGGGCCAGGTTTACTCTCTCTGCTGCCCCAAGGCCAGGTTCCTCAATTTGCCCCCCCCCCCCCACACCCCCCCCCCCCCCCATGGCAAACCTGCAGGCTGCATACAAGTGATCTCGGCGGCGGCTTCCCCGCTGTACATTTAGCTCTGCTTGCCCAACGCAGGGCTAAATATAGAAAACAACTACCCACCCGGCACCCATAACTGCATGTGCCAGGCTTCGGGAGATAGGAATTCCACAACCCGGCTGCCCCTCTATCCCCTGCTGCCCCGAGGTCGGGCCTTGGTTGGCCTTGTGGGAAATCCGGCCCTGGGTGAAGTTCTGCTGACTTCCGTCATCCAATTATGTGGAAAGAAAAATACTGGGATTTTTTATTCTCCTTCCATGTCATTGAGTATTCTTTGCAAAGTGAATTTTCACAACATTCACTAAGCTAAGGGAAAATTCCACTGCAACATGCAAATTCTCTTGCAAAGTGAACAGCCTATTTGCCTTTAGAAAGTCAACCCCACTGGTTCAGAACAAGTATGGACATCAGCAGTTCTGATTTCACTTGTTGCATAAATTACTCTATTAAATAATGTAAAAAAATTATTGTAGCAAGAGGATTAGCATGACCAGCTGCTCTTGTGCCAGGTTTCCTTAAATTTAGTGTGAGCTTTTAAAGCTAGCAACAGTCGTGTATCAATTTGGTTACCTTTTCATTCAATTATTATTCTACATTCAACACTTTGATTTTCTCTTATTTGGCTCCATTTCGCACACATAACAGATCTTAGTAGGTACTGTAGGGTTGATTTACTATAAGAGTAAGGAATGCTTTTTTGGTTTAGTAAATAAAGTGAAGCCATAGTCACTATGAATGCTTAAAGTGATACTAAACTCAGGAGTTCAATCTTAAAAGTGCATTTAAACCTTCATTTGTTTGCATATATCTACTGCTAGCAAGCAGTAGATATAAGTAAAAACACTAAAAAAAAAAGTTACCAAATAGGTAAAAACTTACCTGTTTCTCCACCGCTCACTACCGTCCGAAGATCTGAAGATTCCCGAGTGGCTTTGAAGGATCGTGGGGCGGGCGCATGCGCAATTGGGATCTTCGGCAGGGAGAAGAAGAGAGACACCGATTAAGTCAATGCACGCAGTGCATGCGAACAGACACTGTGGGATCCGAGGAGTCTGCACTGGATCAGGAAATGGCACCAGCGCTGTAGGGACTCCTGAAAACAACTGGAAAGAAGATGATCGGATCAAGAGGCATCATTTAATGTAAGTCCTTAAACCAGCATTGGGGGCGGATGTGATTTTAATGTCACTTTAACTCACTCCTGTGCTTACAATATAAAATACAAATGAGTAAACTAAACATGAGATTATAGTCCATCACGGGAGTGAGCTTGGAGTGGTGGCTACTTTACAACACACATAAAAGTAGCCACCCTCCAGA